CGGGCGAATTTTTGAAAAAGCCTTCTTTTTGACGGGCCTATAAATTTATGCAGTTTCATGCGGGAAAAAAAAAAAAAAAACGCGTTCGTTTTTTTTTCCTTTCAAGTAAGCATACATATCTGAACAAGGGCGGGAAATATATTTTAGCATTTCTCTCTTTTTCTTTTTTCATTTCTCTTTTAACATTTTTTTTTCTTCTTCCCGCCTATGTGTGCTAACATATGGCAGATTATTCCCTGCTATCTGAATTCATGCCAGTTTATTTCCCCACCCTATGTCAATTTATGCCAATTGATCCCCGCGTGTGCCCACTCATTCTCTCTCCTGTTAATTCCATCATCAAACCTGCTGCCTATAAACCCCACTTAAGGCGAAGAAACCCGCCGGAGGGCTCAGTGCTGAATTCTTCCTGTATAACTCTCGAATGGGAAGAAGTTACTTTAAATAATGTCGCCAAGGAGAAGCGCACATTGTTAATTCACGCGAGTTTAGAGGCAAATGTAGTGGTGAGCGGCGTAGCGAAGTATTTTCCACGCCGCGCGCATAATAAGAGGTGCTATTATATTTTTTTCTTTTCCCTTCTGGCATACACAGAGGGATGCGGAAAGTCACCGCGGTTGCCACTCCACATTTTTCCTTGCGAAAGGGAAAATATAATAACACCTCTTCGATGCGTGCCTTTCAGTTATGCCGCTAACCAGGTGAAAGCGCTTCTCTATATTTATTTGAGGAGCCACACCCGGGTAAATCAAACTTGCACAAGTAAACAAGTAGTCGCTACATCCCCATGCCATTTTTAAAGAAAATGCTCCATAGTGCCCAATTTTAGCACCAGCAAGGGGAGAACTGCCTTTTTTTTCTTTTTTGAGACACACCAAGCAGAAGAGCAAGACGAAAAGTACACACCGTACGAAGACGTGTTACGAACGTTACGCCACTGCTCTGCACTGCCCTACGCACCTTTCCCCACGCAAAGATGGATTGCCAGGCCCTCGCAAAGAGCCTGGAGCAGATGAAGCACCTGCACAATGTGAAGTATCTGGAAGCGAAGGATCTAATCGATTTTAACCAAAAAAGCGCATACTACATCTGTCAGCAGATTGCAGAGAAGCAACTCACCAATGAGGGGGGGTATGTCGTGATAGGGCTCTCTGGGGGAAAAACCCCCATTGATGTGTATAAAAATATGGCCCTAGTTAAGGACATAAAAATAGACACCAGCAAATTGATATTCTTCATTATTGATGAAAGGTACAAAAGCAGCGATCACAAGTTTAGTAACTACAACAACATAAAGTTCCTATTTGACAGCTTAAAAATAAATGAGAAGGAGCAGTTATACAGGCCAGACACTTCAAAGAACATCGTGGAGTGTATAAGGGACTACAATGAAAAGATCAAAAACATGGTGAAGAAGTATAATAAAGTAGACATCGCTATATTAGGCATGGGGAGCGATTTTCACATAGCTAGCTTATTTCCAAATATATTTTTCAATATCTATATGAACAATTATCAGAACAGTTATATTTACAATGAATCCTCTATCAAACCGGTAAACAATAACGACAACAATGACAATGATAATTTGGATCTACTGAAGGAATATGTCTACTTTACAACCACCAACAATTTCGATGTGAGGAAAAGAATTACCGTCTCGTTAAATCTGCTGAGCAGTGCATCCAGCAAAATATTTTTACTAAATTCAAGGGAAAAGTTAGACCTATGGAAAAATATGTTGCTAAAATCTTATGTAGATGTGAATTATTGTCTCTACCCAGCTGTGTACCTAATTGATAGTATGAACACCACAGTGGTGACTTGCGGATATCCAAACTATCCACAGATATTGGAAGATATTTATGTCTCCACGAATTCTTTGTCGGTACATTCGCCTAGCCTAAATAGGAGGGAATTTCTAACGTTTATAATTTTTGGCTGCTCAGGAGATTTAGCAAAAAAGAAAGTTTACCCTGCCATTTTTAAACTGTTCTGTAATAAGCGCTTACCAAAGGATTTGTTAATTGTCGGATTTGCCAGAACAGCACAAAGTTTTGATTCCTTCTTCGATAAAATTGTTGGATACTTGAAGAGGTGCCTGCACAGCTATGAGGATTTGTCACATAGCCAGAAGAAGGACTTGCTAAATTGCTTCAAAAATAAGTGCAGGTACTACATCGGGGACTACTCCAGCTCGGAAAGCTTTGAAAAGTTTAACAAGTACTTGACGCAGCTGGAGACCGAGAGCTTACTCGGCACCTCGGCCACCATTTGGAGGCAGACCGCGGGTAAGGAATCCCCTGTGAAGGAATCCCCCGTGAACGACGCGCATAGCTTGGAACTTCCATCAGATGAGTCCATTCGCGCCAAAGGGACCGGCATCGCCACCCCTGGGAAGGCCCCCGAAGGAGCAAATGGACTGGCCACACCCATGCAGAACAAACCCTCACACATGGATGACACAGCGGACGAAGGGCACTCCAGCACGAAATACCCATTCGCCATAAACAGAATACTCTACCTGGCATTGCCCCCACACATATTCGTAAGTACCTTAAAGAATTACAAAAACAATTGCCTCAACAGCAACGGTACCGATAAAATATTATTAGAAAAGCCATTTGGAAAAGACTTGCAATCATTTAAAATGTTGTCAAAGCAAATTCTGGAAAATTTTAACGAAGAGCATATATACAGGATAGATCACTATTTGGGTAAGGACATGGTGTCAGGGTTACTGAAATTGAAGTTTACCAATACTTTTCTGCTCTCTCTCATGAATAGGCATTTCATCAAATGTATAAAGATTACCCTGAAGGAGACAAAAGGAGTGTACGGTAGGGGGCAATACTTCGACCCCTATGGAATCATCCGAGACGTGATGCAAAATCATATGCTCCAATTATTGACCTTAATAACAATGGAAGATCCAATCGACTTAAATGACGAATCGGTAAAAAATGAAAAAATAAAAATATTGAAATGCATTCCATCCATCAAATTGGATGAAACGATAATTGGACAGTATGTCAAATCAGAGAACTACCAAGAGGAGAAAAACTTATCTTCTCCCCTTTCTGATGATCACCCTGTTGATGAGTCCAAGCTGAATCATAGCTACCATGACGATCCCCACATAGACCCCAACTCAATTACGCCAACCTTCTGTACTTGCATTTTATACATCAATTCAATAAATTGGTATGGAGTGCCCATTATATTCAAAGCAGGAAAAGGACTAAATAAAGACATCTGCGAAATACGCATACAATTTCATAACATCATGGGATCCTCCGATGAAAGCATGTACAATAACGAATTTGTGATTATCCTCCAGCCCGTTGAAGCTATCTACTTAAAAATGATGATAAAAGAAACTGGATGTGATGAAATGGAGGAAGTTCAACTAAATTTAACGGTTAATCATAAAAATAAAAAGAATTACGTCCCAGAAGCGTACGAAACATTGTTGTTGGAATGCTTTAAAGGGTTTAAGAAAAAATTTATTTCTGATGAGGAGCTCTATGAATCGTGGAGAATTTTCACTCCTCTTCTCAATAAACTGCAAGAAAAGAACGTGCACCCTTTGAAATACCCCTTCGGCTCCTCAGGGCCCAAGGAGGTGTACGACCTGGTCAAGAAGTACTACAACTATGGCAAGGACTACGCCAACACGCCCTCCTTCGTTCGCAAGTCCTCCTTTTACGAGGACGACTTGTTGGACATAAACTGAGTCTCGACGTGGCGGTGTAACGTTGCAGGGGGAAGGGGAGCTGCTTTTCTACCCAGCTGCCCTTCCGGTCCCCCCCAAATGCGTTGACGCGGACGTTCGTTTGTGTGGGCGATTGCCCCGTGTATGCTGCTGCTCACATCAAGCAAAGTACCACCACGTACCCTCGCGCGCAGCAGAAGCAATATGCCTCCCCATAGCCGTTCCTTCCACAAGGGGCTACATAATTAACCAACTTATTTGCTCTAACTTTACCCAACATAGTTAAAATTTTTTGCGACCCATTTATAATACCTCTATTTTATGCCCCCGTTCTGTGTCGTCATCTAGATGGTTGCAATCCGCGTAAGGTTCATAATTTCGGCGTCAAAGTTATTCCCTTCTTCTAAACAAAGCGGTGAATTTTTAAGACACCTCCTTACCCATTTGAAAAATGTGGAATGGGGAACGTAGAAGGGGGACAGAAGTGTGCCAAATATATTTCGACGCGCTTCCTGCCACTTAAACCACGCCGGGAAGGCATTAAAGAGGAAAAAAGAATTTACATCTCTGAAATTGACGTTTTTACTGTGTTCCCCTTTGCGTCATTCTGAGGTGCAGTAATATTTTCCCATGTGGGTATCCTTTCCTGCACTACGAGCACTCCTTGCCATACGCGCGCACGCCCCCTCTGCCTTCACCACTTTTACGTTCATCCTTTTACCCGCTAAGGCGCTACCCACTAAGTTACTACCCGATAAGGTACAATTTCTTTTACTAAAAGACCTTTGGTTTCTTTTTTAAAAGGGGAAAAAGCAGTTCTTTTTGGAAAATAAACTTTTAAGAATTGTGCATAAAGATACGCAGCGCGTATTGCACGAGCGCAGGTACACGTGTATATGCACACGATGTAGAGTAGAAGAAGCAGAATTCATAGCACTTTTAGGTATGTGGAAATATATGTCACTGCCTTGTTCATCCTTCTCCTTTCAGCTGCATCGTACGAAGTGCAACATTCCGGTGGGGCATTCACGGGAGCATACCCAGGCATCTGCATATGTATAAGCATAGGAACACGCGAGTGCATGCACAACGGCTCTTCCACGCGGGCATCTATGCCTACACAAGCACAAGCGGAGGCACGTGCGTACGCATATTCCTCGTGTTTGCAACACGTAGATGTACACATTCTTACACGCGAGAAATGGACGAGCATGAAGGCATGTATTTTCTTTTTCTTCTTTTTCTTTTTATTTTTCTTCTTCTTCTTTTTTCCTTTTTTAAACTATGCTACCGGTTCTTGCACCTCCACAATTGGGTCCTGAACTTTGGCTTCTTCGTCATGCATGCCATCCTTCTCCATGTTGCACTTGGCGTCCTTGCACTCGTGAATTTTATCTGCATCATTTTTGCTATCAACATCGTCCTCGTCTTCCTCCTCATCATCTTCATCATCGTCATCATCACTGGTGTCATCGCCATACGAACTGGAGTCGTCATCATTCATGCCACTCATATTAGGCATGTTCTTAAACTGGTCCATTCCTCCTAGGCCTGAAAAATTGGCCATATCATCACCCATATTTCCTAGCTTACTAAAATCCAAATCGCCCATTCCTGGCATGCCTCCCATTCCTGGCATACCGCCCATTCCGGGCATACCTCCAAGACCTCCCATTCCTGGCATGTTTCCAAATTGACTCATATCTGGCATGCCTCCCATACCACCAAAGCTATTCATTGCCATGTCGTCATATTCTGTTGTTTTATTTTCCTCATCAGTATCAACCCAGGAGTTCCAGTCACATTTCACCCAGTGCTTCTTACCATCATTATTTATGGTCTTCCATCTTTCCTTTTCCTTTTTTATAATTTTAAACTTTATATTTCTCTTGGTGCTGTACTTGGACTCTTCTACATTTATTGGTTTTAAAAAGTTTAGGGTAAACTCGTATTCATTTTTTTCTTTTTTTCCGTAAAAATATAACTTGTCTTCTTTCAAGTCAATTTTGGTGTCCTCCGGATCCTGGAGCTCTATGGTCAGGTACAGGCAGTCCTTTTTCTGGGCCCACAAAACGATTGGAAATAGTTTACTACGGAGGGGTAGTGGAGGCGAGGCAACGTTCATGTGTGCGCACATAAATATAAATGTATTTACATGTATAGATTGCCACGAGCGCTGCTGCTCCGGGAGAGACCAACGCACGGGCGCATCTGGGCATGCACTCAAGGGTTCTTTCTCAAATTTGTGTAATTTCTGCAGGGGAAGCGTCATGTAGTGTTGACTTTTATTATATGCAGGTGTTAACATCGGGGAGACACAACGTAAAAAAAAAGGCACTAACGTAATTTGAAAAAACCACGTACAATCATGTTACGGGGGCGATCACATTCGGTAAGTTGTAACCCCATTTTGGAAGTGTGCACGGCGGATCATGCCAAGGGGGGCTTCCACGAGGCATCCACTACAAAGAGTGCACATATACGTCTGCATTATACGTGAAGGCACAACATTTATCAGTGTGTTGCACATATTATACATGTTTACAGCACGCGTAGCTTTTGGGCACACGGGCTTGCCGGGAGGGGGCACGCAAATATTACGAAGTTTCCATTTTACAACCATGGTGGTGAAACACAAATAAGAAAAAAAAAAATTCAAACCCTGATACAGCGTGGGCGATTATAATATGTAGAAATGAAAGAATAGCAGTATATGTGCACATTTTGCAAGCTCAAATGGAGAGAATTAAAAAAAAAAAAAGGCATATAGAGGCGGGTGGGGGCCGGAAAGAAAAAAAAAAATTATATATCAATGGAAAAACGTGACGCAGAAGAAATGCACGCATGGGGCACATATTGGTTTACTCTCACTCTCCTCGCCGCAACAGAACGCTGCTCTGTTTTTCCCTTATTTTCATATTTCTCTTAAAACTTACGCCATGCTCGGAAAAAGCTTGTTGAATCTAGGTAAAATATGGGGGAGGGGTGAGAAACTTGGTGAAAGTTTTTGTAGAGGTGGAATATGCTATACAATATATGTGCTACGTAAATGTGGGTGAATTTGCTATTTTTCCTCAATGTTTAAGAAAAATTTATAAAGATGTTTTATTTATAAATAATAAATAATCCCTATTTGGAGAAATATAAAAAAATCACCGTAAAAAAAAGGCGTTACGCAGGAAAAAGTATATTGTACTTGTTTTTCTTTATATACCTGTATAGCACTGTTATTTTATTATGTATTCATAAAATAAATACATAAATTGTTTCAAAATGAACATATTTTATTAAATTTAAAATTGTGCTTAAAAGGTGAACTTAAATCTGCGTTTAAAAAATGAATTTAAATCGATTTCTTCCACTTGTTAAAACTGTTCATATGTAGTACCATTTGTTTCATTTGAAATATATGTTTTTTTTTTTTCTTTTTTTTTTCACCGCGGCAAAAAAAGAGTCAATATTTTTATTTGCATAATAGAAAAATAAAAAGGGGGTGGTTGTTTCGCAGTCACGCATACATATACATGAATACGTAAATTATTTTATCTATATAATACAAAATATGTCCGGCGTATCTTGCATAATTGAAGCGCCAGATGTTATATTTACATACGTAACACATATAACGCTGTTTGTCGTGTTCGGCTTGCTGTTTATGCAACCCTTACGGGTACACGGTGTCGTAGCATTTCGAATGGCATGCTGCGACGTACGCGCGGCGTATGATGCATTACATATACTGAATATATATAATATTATATATATATTTATATATGTATTAATTTTTCGGGTATGACGAAAAAACGAAACGTTTTGCTTGGAGCAGGGAAGGGGGCCTCTTTTTTTTTCTTTACGTGCTCATATCTTATACTTACAATGACTGCCCCGCCCGTAGGTCACCTGCACGAATGAGAATCGTCCCATGCGTCAATGTATGCAGTTTTCAGTATACCTAACGTTGGCATACATTCCTACATTTTTGCGCATAAGCTTATTCCGTTAAAATGTAGATTTTATAAAATATACAAAGTAATGCTGCCTGTGCCGTACACGTATGCAGCGCCCCGCGAATGTCGCAAAATGGAGTTAGCAAAAAGCGCGGCTTTCAAAAAAAAAATCACCGTCGCGACGATTACGCCTGGAACGAATGCTTAAAGGGATATATCTATACATGAGCAGATAGAGCAAAGGAAGCATCGCAAATTGTTTTTAGTGTACGCGCAACAAATAATGATAAATGGGAAAAAATGTTGTAGAAAAGTTGGTCGAAGGGGATGAAAAAAAAAAAAAAAAAAACGCCTATATCATGTTAAAATACTCGATGGCTGAAATGGCATACCAAATAAATTTTCTTGCAAAAACTGTGTGTTGGTGAAAAAAAACGCGATTAGACCCATAAAAGGGATGCATTAAATGTATGTGAAGCAAATAAATGTTGTGACACCTTGTGGAAATTGCCTTTTCTTTTTTTTCCGTGAAAAATCTTCCCTTTTCGTCATAATGGGGGGAAAAACACCTGATGCATATTTTTAAATACGCCACAGTTTATCTAAAATAAAAAATTGTGCATTGTACAAATGGTTTGTTATGTATATTGTGCCTTTCTTTTAACGTGACGAATGGCCCACTTTTGCACATGGTACAAGGCATGCCGTACGCGCATAATAATTAGTTAATCGGTTTATGAGCAGACGCCTGTTCGCGGGTTGCAAGCTATTTTGATATTTGGACAATTTTGAAGGTAACCTACCTGAATGCTTGAATGTTCACATTTTTTATCTACTCCGTATGAGATGGCAAAATAGCGCTGACACTTTAAGACGTAAAGAAGGTGGACGCTTCGAAGGGAAAATATTTATCCGCTTGAAATTATAGGAGAAGTCCTGCGCCGAACTCTCCACATGTTAATCTTACGAGGAGTATCATCTGCACGTTTTACATATAAAGTGGAGGAAGGGGTTCGTACATTGGGTTTTCCCAAAGTCAATTCAAAATTTGGGGAAGAACATCACAAAATTTGTGAGATGTTTGTAGTTTTTTCTTTTTGCTAGTCATTTCGTGGCTGGTAAAGTATCCCGTCAGTTTACTTTCCCATTGACATAAAAATTTATATACACTCAAAAAGGTGTTCCCTACGTTGTTTGTCATGAGATTTATGGAAATTTTTTCCTCTAAAGGGGGAGAAGAAAAGGGAAAAAGTTTTTATACATTTTTCAGATTTCGAATGGGGGAACGTTTTTCCCCCACCTCCGCTACCTTTTGTGTTGTATGCCCCCAAAGGGGAAGAGCGTAAGAACGAGACAAACTGGCATTTTCAGTTTTACCACAACCACATGCTTCACATTTGGACATTCTCAGCAAAAGGGGTTTCCAAATGGGTTGGTTTAAAAAAATAATCCTTATGATGCAAATGTTAACTATATAAACCAGTCAGAGAATTGTGAGAGTCGCTAATTTTTTTTTGTGAATAGGTACCAGGTTCGCTACTCCTTAAGGGCGCTAATTGGAGTTTGCCAAAATTGAACGATGTACGATAAGCATGGGGCAAAGCCAACCCCACTTCATTCTTCTGCACCGCTCGTTTATGAATCATTTTCACGCATTCTGCGTTTTTCGAAGCATTTTTCAGCGTGTCCCCGTGTGCAGTGAGGAGGTGTACTTTTTTGTGATCCCCAAATGTCCTTCCAAGTGAAGTCTAAAGATATGCATGTAAAAGTACAAAAAAAGTGAGCAACCTCTACAACGTTTTTTTTGCTGTTGTTCCTTTGGAGGTTAACTCATTTTGCTTTAAGGTGGCAACTTCTTTCTCCTGCATGTTACGTGCATTACTTGGTGAAACTCAAATGTGATGCAAAATAAATTGAATTTTTTTTTTTTTTTTGTTCCCGAACGTGCATGTATTTTTTTTGTTATTTTGTTGCTTTGTTATTTTGTTTATTTTTTTTTTCCCCTTTGAGCCACTTATTTCTAAAATTGCAACGCATATGGCTTCCGAGCTTCTAGCATGTCGAGATAACACAAAATGTTGACGCCTAAGAGGCACAAAATTCACACGAACGTATCTAATCATAGCATCGTTTCTATACCACTTGTGAGGGGGTCCGAAGAGGTCTTCATCGGAAAAGGGAAACACAAACGTGACCACATATATGTTTTGCAGTAAGGGTCGCCAAAGTTTCAGATAGATCGAACCATTTGTGAACGCGCGTAACATATACTTCTCATCGAGGAAGACATATTAATGTTGAGGGGGGGATGTCTTACCAGCAAGGTGCTAAAAATTGGAAAACGCTGGTTTGCTGACAAAGAAAGTGCTTTTTTTACCACAAAAAAAAATAAAGGAACAGAAAATGCCTTATCCAAATGCATCCAAATTAACAAGGCAATTTTGAAAAATGAAAATATTCTCGAAATAGTAAAAATAATAAAGAAGAACGAAAAAAATGCCAATATAATTAATTACGTAACGTTTCTTCACAGATTAATGCAAATAATATGCAGTAAGAAAGATGACCCCACTTACTTAAAAGGTGTAACATATATCCATGACGAAATAGAGGAAAAAATTAACATCATTTTTCAGTATTTTATTGACCACAAGAAGAGTTTTAAGGTTAATAACTATAACAAAAGGCTCTTTTCTTCCTTCATATGGTCACTTAGTAAGTATGCCAGTCTGTTGAAAGATGGTGACACTCGGCACCTCTTTGCCAGTACGGTGTCGCACAGTTATTTGGCACATCCATGTAAAGGTCAAGTGGAGTGGCTGAAAAGGGTTTTTCTCTTAAATTGGCAGGGGGAGCATGCCAGTGATGTGCACAGTGTGTACCTGTCCGGGGGTGATGATGACGACGGTATGGTCAGAAGTGTACCTCTGCAGACAACTACTCGGCAAGGGGAACAAAACCGGCACGATGGAAAAAATTCCCCCCGCGAAGCAGTCAGGGGAAGCCCCCCCCCCTGTAATAAGTTCAGCCTATTATGCTATTATGCAGACGCGTATTTACCATCCTTAAATCCGTCTCGATATGTCCTTGTGCTTTGGTCATTAAGCAAGCTGAATAAACATTTCAAAGAATTACACGAGCGATACTACAAGAGGAGCGAGAGTCTCTTGCCTCAGCTAAAGAGTAGGGAACTGATAATGTTGCTATATAGCTACTCCTATGTAAATTATTCAAACTTACATTTTTACGTAAAAGTGAAAGACTTTATTATGAGCAGAAATACACATAAGGAAATCGTCCGTGTGGGGGAGTACGAATCGGTGATCAACATGCTTCTGTCATTTTCGAGGCAAAATGTATTTCCCCAAGACTTACTCGAAAGCACAGTAGACCAGATTTTACAGTCGAAGGATTTTTTAAAATCGATAAAAAGTAAGCATCTAATAACCCTCCTCTTTTGTCTATGCAAATTTCCGTTTTTATACACATCAGTGGAAAAACGCTTTGAAGCGCTAAAAAGAAGGGAGACAAATATATGGGCAAGAAAAAATATCTTTTTGTATGAATTGCTAAAAAAGGAGATTATGAATAGGTGCACAAAAGAGAGGAACCCAAGTAGAGATACATTTCAGACGGAGGAAAAAAATACACACAAGGAGGTACCACTCCACATGATCAACTACTCCTGGGAAAACTTGATTCTAATCATATGGTCGTTAAGTCTTAAGTATATCTACTCAGCAAAATTGTTCCTCTCCTGCTTTACTAAGTTATCGGATTATTTGAAAAATCAAAACTACGTGAACAGTTCATATCCCATATTGACGAACTTTTATTTATCCCTTTTGTCCTTCTTGCTAGAAGATGGGACGGTCATCAATTTGTATTTTAACACAGCAGAATTAAATGCCCTGTGTGTTTTGTACAATAATGTTGGCATCTTTGAAAGGGATTTTGGGACATTCAAAAAGGCGATAAACATGAATGGAAGGAAACATGACGTGGATGTGTCCGGCATGCATAAGGTTATATACAATTTGATTTCCAACCTTTTTAAAGGATCAAAAAATGTAGCTGTGTTGTTGGAACATAAAAACGGGGTTAACTTGTCTGTGGATATTTTGCTGCGTCAAAAGGGGAACACTACAAGGCAGGAAAAGGAACACCGTCGGTTGGCTCCACGTGGTGAATTTTTAGGTGAAGTGGCGTTAGCCCAGGGGCGGAAGGAGAATAAGCAGGCTTATCACAGCAACAATGAAGGTGCGGCAAAATGTGCAGGGTGTTCAACGGGAAGGAGCAACGCGACTATTGGTTCCCCGTTCCAAACCCCCCCACGAAGCACATCACTAAATGCGCATCAAAAGCGTGACTGTCACAACAGCGCCAAAACTGATCACATAAAACGTGGCACTTACATTGAAGAGGTTCCCCACGTCAGTGCACCGTGTGAGAAGGCAGATATCCCCAGCGATGAGATAAGAAGTAGTTTGCTCAGCTTCATGGAAAGAATAAAAAATGCGAATGACAAAATAGACGCCAAGGAATTGAAAAAATTATTCAAAGATGTGCTAACCTTCTTTGGGAAATTCTCTACCCATATTAACGAGCAGGACACTGTTAGTTTTTTTTATAAATTTTCTGCCCTTTTTCCGCGATTATGTGAGTTAAGGGACCGTGGCAGGATGGTCAATGGTGGTGGCGAAGACTTCTTAACAATTTTTTCCCACTTCCATGGATACATCACTAACACTTTTTTTCAAAATGCGAACAGAAAGAAGGCGCATCATCTGCTTGACGTGTGCTGGGTCTACTTCAGATACATGAAATATTTTTATACTCTATCGAAGGAAGGAAATCCAGATGGGCCTAGAGACAGAGAAAGCATAACAGGAATGGCAACTAAAAAAAGGCTATCCGGAGAAATAAAAAAAATTGTAAACATATTCGACCATGTTGTAATAAACAAAATGATAACTGAACAAATGATAGCAAAAATGTCGTCCAAAAATATGGCCCACCTTATTTCCATTTTTTTGCACATTAACAATTCGAGTATGATAGAATATTTAAAAAAAAATAATTTTCACAATGTTCATTTTACCGTGAAAGATATTCTCCTAATTTTGAGTGCTTTAGCCAAGTCCGATTTTGAATGGAAAATTGAAACAACCGAATTTTGCAACAAATTTATTGAGCATATAGGCACCTGTGGAGTGCAGGACTTGGTGGAGTTTACCTATCTGTGCGCAGAGCTGAAATCGAGCAGTGAGCTTATTAGTACGCATATTAGAGATAAAGTTAACTCGTGTGGTCCTTTCCAACAGTTTTCAAAGAAGACATATGTGGAGCGAAGAAGCGACTGCTATGGGGGGGTAGCAGACGTTTCTTCTATCCCCTCCGGTCAGACAAAATTCATTGAGACTTTTGAACAGGATGAGCTAGCCCTTTTCGTGAGAAACTGCTACCGAATGCACTGTTTTGATCGACATTTTTTTGACACACTGTGCGATGCAGCGCTGAGGAGGCGCAGCACGCTGAGTGCGAAAAGTCTCTGCATTGTGCTGCCCTGTTTCGCGCGCGTTTATTGCCTGCACGGGGTCGGCGCGTCTTCCCCCAATGGAAGGAGCGGGGGAAGAGAGCCTCTCACACGAAGTGGCCACACTGGCAAGCTGGATTACACTCACAAGGTGGATCACACTGACAAGGTGGATCACACTGACAAGGTGGATTACACTGGAAAGATTAATCACAATGGCAACGCTGATCACACTGTTCACTTTACCCACAGCAGTGACCATCTCGATGCAGACATGTCCTTGTGCAGGTACGACGTGCCCGCGTCCCTAAAGAAGCTCGCAAAGTACGCGGAGGCGAAAATACTCTCCAGCGGAAACCCCAATTTGTTCAACCTGGCATATTTTATGGAGGCATTTACGCTGCTCAAAGTTGAAAACAAAAGGGCCTATGCTTTATGCGCGAAGGAGTTAGAAAGGAAGGTAGGAATTAACATACGAATCGGAGCCACAGACGGGGGAGAGAAGAAAATACAATGTTGGGGAGATACAGATAAGGAGGTAAGACTGCTGGGGAAAATTCTATGGTGCATGTCGTACTACCATAAGACGGAATTTATCTTGGCAGGGAAAATTACCAACTTTTTTCTAAGGAAGAGAATGTACAAAAATGTATCCCCTGAAAATTTCATTTCCATTTTTTTGTACTACATAAAATCGAGAGTATACAACAGAAGCTTGTTCCATAAAATGGGCCAAGCTGTCACAATGAGCATAACTGTGGGCAACTATTTTATTGGCAAGGAGGGTAAACGCAGGGGAGGCTTTAAGTTGAGTGTCATCACCGAACTGTTTGGAACCATGGCATGGGCGTACGCATTTACCTGTTGTTATGCACACCAGAAGGAAGATAGTACCAATAGGGGGAGAAAAAAAGAGGAAAAAAATAAAAGACAAAAAAGTGAAATAAAAAATGATCAACTATTTTTAAACAAAATATACACCTTCTTGCTAAACGAAATTAAAACTCTCCACAAATATAAAGCACTTTCCTTTTTACTCTTAGCAAGATATTTATGGGGCGTCGCAATTGCAAATTTAGTAAATGAACAAGTAGTACATTTTATTAACGGCTACAATTGGAATGCTGTAAATGTAAAGGAACAAAATTATATGCACTTACACATGATTGTTACCTTTTGGTTAAGATTAAAATATTCTCATCATGGGTTTCACCTTTGTGAGGACTTCCTCACCTTGAAGAATCATATTATGAGCCTACTTGGCAAAAAGAGGGAAATTTTTAAAAATGGCCACCATACTGCTAGCGAGAACATATCAGATTTCCACCAGCAAGTCTGCCAAATATTAGACAAATTCGGGGTGAAATACGAAAATGAGTATATGGCGCAGGAACTTTTGTCCATCGACTTGGCCATAAGGGATGGAACGAGGGGGGAAAAGATTGCCGTTGAGGTGGATGGCCCATCACACCATTTGGTACTTTTGGACGAGACCGATACGAGGGCTAAGAAGTAAGGGGGCAAATTTGGGGTTAACGAAACGATGCCATTCGTGGGACACGCAACTGCTAGAAGTACATGAGCAATGTTCCAAAGTGATCAACCCTTCTCATAATTAGCCTCGCTTCTTCGCTAACTGTGCTCCCCCTCCAAATGGGATCCCCAGTTATATCAGTCTACTCGCCCATATCTTGGCCCCGCACACATCTCTACTATTTTTCTTTGTACGTTTACCTCCTCCGCAGGATGTATGCCCCATGTGGAACAACCCATTTTAAAAACTGGCTGTTGAGGGAAATGGGCTGGACGGTCATCAACCTCGAAGTGCATGCGTGGAATAAACTCAGCAAAGCAGAGAAGGAGGCCTACGTGGTGGAGAAACTGACAAATTGTAGTGAGAGCCTTAACAATCACTTTGCGAAGTGGGCCTCACCGAATTGATTCGTGTGAATCCCCTTTGAGTATGCCAAAAGGGGAGAAGAAAGCACGCATTTCGCTTCCCTCCGTACCCGTATCTGCGTGGACACCCCATTGTGTGCCCTTTTAACTCCAGCCTGATTTGCAACGATGCGTTGTTCTGCCAGGGTGGCAGTTTTTATGTGCTTAATCTTAGACACAAGAGAATCATAACCATTTTGCTTCACTAGGGAGGCATTCCGTGAGGAGAAGCGCATGTATTTGTTTTTATTTTATTTTTTTTTTATCCATTTTGTCTGTCAATTTTGACCCCCCCTTAGCATGACAGCACCGCGGGGGTGAGGCCTGTATGTACATTCAAACGGAGCACCAAATGGGAAAAAAAAAAAAAAGAAAAAGAAAAAACAGGGAGCCAATTCCCGTTACACACCCGCCTAGGGGCATTTATACACATGTGTACGTTGTCTATGTTACGACCATATCCCTGTGGATGATCTAACTTATGCCAGGAACGCCCCTGGAGTGGATTTGTTTGCATCATACAGTTGGTGTTTTTTTCTCCTATTTATTTATAAATATACACTACTGAATAGGCAAAGAGTATTTCTTCTTAATTTTGTTTGCTTATTTTTTTTTAATTTCTTTTTTTGTTTGTTTCCCTTTCTAATTTTTCACTTTTATAAAGTTTAACGCACGCTTTGGTGGAGTTGCGGAAATATCCATCAACAAATGTTTCCGACATGAGATTTACTTCTTTTCTGTCCAAAACATACGATTTTAAAATTTTGTTCTTAACTGGTTCTTGTTCGTTTTAGTTAGATTTTGTGACGTTTGTCGGTTTTTTTTTTTTTTTTTTTTTGTTTCCAATACTGCCTGCAATTGTGTGGGACGGACCTGACTTGACTGTACGCTAGTTGTATGCAAAGGTGGCCATATGCGTGCAGACGCGGTGGAAAAGCGGCGCATTCGAAGGCAAAGAGGAGTGTAACAGGTGAAGCTGAGATACAGCCCCCTCACCGGAAACAGCATACCAACAGCGGATCAATCGCACACCAACGGGGGAGCACTAGGAGGGCTCTACTCGCAAGGCGCCTGGGAAAAAACAATGAACGCAACGTTGAAAGCAATTATCATCCTGGTGGTCGCTCTGACGATTAAGTATGCGAGATGCAAATCGAATCTAAGGAACCAGCTGACGAGCACTCAGGGACCGGCCCAAGACAGCAGTAGCTTTTTCCAAATAAGACTCCCCGAAATTAGTATCCCGCCGATTTCCACTAACCTGGGAAATTATAAAGACTATGAAGGAGGAAGAAATGGAGGCGGATGGGACAATGGCAAAGTGGAGTTATCGTCCTATTCGTTCGTTCCGTCGTTATTAAATGCGGTTTATTTATTTTCTGCCCTATGTTTCATCCTCTGTTTGACTGGCTTGAATAATCACAAGACTTCCAAAAGGGGGAATGTACTAGGGTTTATAGGAATAGTAGCAGCAATAGTGGTGACCTTTAGCCAAGTAGGGTTTGGATTCAGATATGAATTATTTTTCATCATAGTAATACCAGCTATCAGTATAGGATTATTTATTGCCCACCATGTGAGCATGGTGCAGATGCCCCAGTTGGTTGCACTATTTCATAGCTTTGTCGGATTAGCTGCATTATTTGTTGGCTTCTCTAAATACCATTCGGAATATTTCGAGAGTTACGAAATGAGCACAATACATTTGGTGGAACTTTATTTAGGAACCTTTATCGGTGCAATAACTTTTATCGGGTCGTTAGTAGCAGCGGGGAAATTAAGTGGTACTCTAGACAGTAAATCTTTAAATTTGAAAATAAAAAAAGTCATAAATATGGTTTGTATTATAATTATCATCATTCTTGGATATTATTTTGTTCAGCTTAAATCGATTTATTTGAAAACCCTTTTCCTTTATGTTTCTTTCCTGGTGGATTCATTTCTCGGGTTCCACTTAGTTGCATCAATCGGTGCTGCAGATATGCCTGTGGTCATTAGTGCATTGAATTCTTACTCTGGCTTCGCTACAGCCATCAGTGGATTTCTGCTTCATAACAATTTGTTAATCATATCAGGATCACTTATTGGTTCTTCAGGAGCTATTTTATCCTACATTATGTGTATAGGAATGAACAGAGATATCTTCAATATTATCCTAGGTGGGTGGGATGACTATGATGAGTTAGGTGGAGGATCGTTGCAGCAGGCGGAGGCAAATAAACGGGTAAACTCTACCACACATAAGTACGTTGCAGAAAATTTAATTAACGCAAGAAATGTTGTAATCGTTCCAGGGTATGGCACAGCTGTTAGCAAATGTCAGAGAGAGCTAGCTGAAATTTGCATCATACTGAAGTCGAGAAATGTGCAGGTAAATTTTGCCATCCACCCTGTTGCAGGAAGAATGCCAGGACATTTAAATGTCCTTCTAGCTGAGGCAAATGTTCCCTACAACATTGTCAAAGAAATGAATGAAATTAACTCATCTATCGACAAGGCTGACATCGTTTTGGTAGTGGGGGCTAACGACATTGTGAACCCCTCCTCTCTAGACCCCTCCAGCAAAATTTATGGAATGCCAATCATCGAGGTATGGAAAAGCAAACAAGTAATTATTTTAAAAAGGAGTCTGAACACAGGGTACTCGGCGATAGACAATCCACTCTTCTACTTTGCCAACAGTTATATGCTTTTCGGCGATGCGAAACATTCGACCAATCAAATTTTAACCATTTTGAGCGACTATACCAGTCATAAATATCCAGATGTATCCCTGTCAGATGCGCACCTTGATGATGAGAAGGCTGAAGTGCGCTCTTTGTGCTTCCTCTCGGAGGACTCTTCCGCCAGCATCAGAGAAGATTTGGAGGCACTCGCGGAGCAGTACCCCAAGGCACGGAGGGTCATCGGGCTGGTGAAGGAGGACACGGGGGGAACACAAAAAGGAGAAGCAAAAAATGGAGACGAAAAAGGGGAAAACACCAAAGAGGGAGCAGAAGCTGAGTCATCCACCCCCCGAAGCGCCGATGTCAACCTGTCTATAGTCCCTATTACCCCCAAGTTTGTCCCAAAACTAAAAAAAATGGGCTTCCGAATATTGGTGGAAAAAGACATAGGAACGAAAATCATGATAGAAGACGAGGAATACGTTAATTACGGAGCTGAAATCACATCGAAGGAGGATGTCCTCAGGCAGAGCAATATCATACTGAAGGTGGATCCACCAAGCGAGAAATTCATAGTGGAAGTACCAAATAATACTGTCCTAATTAGTTACTTGTGGCCAAGCATCAATAAAGAGCTACTTCAAATCGCTGTGCAGAATAAAGAAAAAAATAACATCACCTATATGGCAATTGACGAGGTGCCTAGATCCACACGCGCTCAAAAAATAGACATCAGAAGCTCTATGAGTAACTTACAAGGATACAGAGCTGTTATAGAAGCCTTTTTCATGCTCCCAATGTTTAGTAAATCGTCTACCACAGCTGCTGGAACGATTCATCCCGCTAAAGTTTTCGTCATAGGGGCAGGGGTAGCAGGGTTGCAAGCCATTATAACCGCGAAGAGTATGGGTTCTATTGTATACTCACATGATTCGAAAGCATCCACTGAGGAGGAAGTGAAGAGCTGTGGTGGAATATTCATAAAGATCCCATCATCAACGTACAGAGAAAAGAATGAACTAGCGAAAGATGAAGAAAAAATGAGGGAAGATTTTTTAAATATACAAAGTAAGATTTTCAAAAGGGTTATCAGTAAGTGCGACATTTTAATCTGCTCTGCATCTGTACCTGGAAAAGCGTCCCCAAAATTGGTCACCACAGAAATGATTAAACTAATGAAGAGGGGAAGTGTGGCCGTGGATTTGTGCACAGAATTTGGAGATAAACAAAGTGGCTGGGGAGGAAATATCCAGTGTTCGCAATCAAATAAAAACATCATCATCAATGGGGTTCATGTGTTAGGTAGAGATAAAATTGAAAGAAATATGCCACTGCAGGCATCTGACTTGTTCTCCATGAATATGATAAATCTGCTGGATGAAATGGGAGGAGGATTACAATTTACAGTCGATACTAATAATGACATTGTGAAAGCGCTCGTTGTTGTAAAGGATGGAAAAATTTTGTACTCACCTGACAGATCAATGGACAAATTGGTCAAAAGCGAAAGTGTTTTCTTGACTGACCAAAGCGAAGACAATCAACTTGTTTCCAAAAAAACGATAAAATATCCGACGGGGACACGCATAACTGAAAAGTTTATCGAGTCAGATCTGCTCTTCTACATTTCCCTAATTTGCGCACTTATGGTTACCCTACTGACTGGCACTATCTTTTCACAGTCAGATTTGCACCATTTGTTTTTATTTACTCTGTCTATCATCGTTGGCTACTTCTGCGTCTGGTCCGTCACGCCCTCGTTGCACACCCCGCTGATGTCCGTCACGAACGCGGTAAGAGTGGGCCATTGACTCCGTGGTGGCACCATTTTGCATGTTACTTACAGATGCATGAATCTAGGGGTGTTTTTCTGTCCATACGGATTTATGTGCAGACCAACGGACATCAGTGACGCAGGCGCGTCGATACGACATCTACCCCCCCTCCCTGCAGCTCTCCGGAGTTATAATAATCGGAAGCATGATTGAGTACGGCAGTGGCTTCAAAAGTCTGAGTTCTGTCCTGTCGATGATAGCCACCTTCTTGTCCGCTGTGAATCTTTCAGGTATGGGTCACCAGCGTACGATCTATGATGCCATCTTGATGAAAAGAGGCATCCCCCCCTGAGAGTTGACACATCGATGCGCCCACAAAAAGGACGCTGATATGAACGTACCCTCTTTCTTTTTTCCACACCTTTAGGAGGATTCTACGTCACCAAGAGGATGCTGGACATGTTTATCAAATAAGAAAATAAAGGCATTTCCCCTTTTGTGAAGCCCTAAATTGGGCCACAGGAAATGTTTCCCCCGGCATACGAGCTGCAGCCCTTGAACTGCGTTGACTTTTCTTCAGCATCCGTCGAATTTTTTGTTTTTGTCGCACTTTAGCTGCTCTAGCGCTGCGAGCACTGCCAACGCTGCTAGCCATGTTGACCATGCTGACCATGCCAACACTTGCTGGTCTTTCCTCACCCTGCTTCTGTTCCGTTACGCCATTTTATTTACTCATATGCTTATTTTTTTAATTATCCTTTTTGGCGCCTCAGCTGAAATATAAAAATATTTACCCAATTCGGGGTGTCTCTCCTCCCTCAGGAGATACACATCGGCGTGCAACTTGCCCGACAGTTCGCTTAAAAGGAAATTTACATTAATACGTGCGTCGTGAGAACACGCACGCGTGAAAAAAGGAGTTTATCGCTATGCGACTGTTTTTTCTAAACGTAAAAAAAGTGTGGCGACACGTTGAGAAGTACATTACACGTGTGGGGAAAAACCCTGAACGTGTTTAGCCGAATTACAAAAAAAATGTTGCAGAGGGGGGGAATAAAAGGGTGACAATATGCCCGGCACATGGCTTCCAAATGGAAATCAATGTGGAGGAAGCGTCGCCGCAACACGTCGCAACAGACGCAATAACCGCCTCTCGCAAGAGCTACCGTAGCTGACTATACGCGGCATCCACGGGGTCAGCGCTAAACGAGTGCAAAGACAACATACACTGTAAAATAGTTACCTTTTTCAGGATGCTCTTGTCTAACCTCAAAATGTGGTTAAACAGTCTAGAATCCCTATTAGGGCCAAAGAAGCTATTTTGGTCAACATTCAAAGAAATGATGTTTAATTTCATTACAAACTCCAAGTAGTGAATATCGAAAATGTTTGCAAGAGATTTTATGTAACTGTTTATGGAAAATAAAATGTGCTCTCTCTCTGCGGGGTTCTTCCCATCACTTTTTGCATGCCCGCTTTTAGGATACGTTCTGTTTCCCCCTTCTGCTACTGTATTTTTGTCCCTGTTTAGGATTCCATTTTTTACGTTCATTATTTCTTCTTCGTCGTCTTCATCAAGGCCGTCCTCTTCATCCCGTTCCTCATCGTCCACCTCCTGCTCGCTCTGAAAAGCCATGTCGTACGAGTTGTCAAAGTTTAGGTCAAAGGTGACATTGAAGAGTTTGCTCAGCTTTAGAAGGATATCGTAAATTTGGGAAGGAATGGATAACAGATTAAGAAGGTGATTGGAAAATAATTCATTGAGGAGGAACTCCTTATTTAGAGTGCCTTGAAGCAGGGAATTGGCGGAGGTGTTATCCCATGCTGTAGCATCTGCGCCATCGCTTCGTTTTTTTTCAGGTCTGTATTTGTCCGAATCCTGGGCCACTTGGCTGAACCGCCCTCTAGAATCGCAATTGATCCTATCTTCTAAAGCAACAGTGGAGCTACCCCACATATTATACGAATCAGTTTCCACATTTCCCTGGTCGTTCTTACCCCTGGGAGGATTAAAAACAACCTTTTTTCTTTCATATTCCTGAAGCAGGGCATTTTTCCTGTGTTCATCATTTATGTAAAAATTGTGCAGCTCGTCATGTCTCGTCCGTATCGGTACCAACATCGTTTCGATTAAAAAAGTTAAGTACAGCTTGTGACTATGTTTTATCTGATACAACGACTTTGATTTTAACAAAGTGGAAATGAACTGATTCCACGAGAAACTCAATATCCACTGGTAGTAGGTATACAGCGTGTTCAGGAAGAAGAACATTTTATATTTTAAAACACACAAAGAGGTGACGATTACCTCCACAGTTTCATAGTGTTCTGATTTCTTTGTCCTCAGGTACTTATAAAATATGTGTACTAAATTTAGTACATGCAAAGATTTTTTTATTTCAAGAAAGTAGGAAAATATCGCTGAATATTTCTCCAAACATTTCGAATCAAATAAAAAATTAACAAAAGATGACCCACTGCCCCTTGTCTCTATTAGCAAATTCCTGTAGCTTATAACACGGATGTTGTTGTTGTACATTTTGTTTTCCCTTAAGGTAAAGTAGAATCTCTTCAAGATACTCGTTATAATCTCTTCTTTGTAAAGGTTTTTCGTCAACTGTTGGCAGATGGAGGATTCACTTCCATTCTGCGCTTCTTCATACTTGGTGTTACTTTGTCCTTTTGCAGAAGTGTAGCTCTGCGCTGTTTCTTTTTCTGCAGATTGGGCTGGTATTTTTATCATTGGGGGAGGATCCCCTCGATGGGTGCAATTCCATGGGTATGGCGCAAAGTTGGTGGAGACTCGTCTATGCTCATCGCTAATCTCGAGTTGGCGTTTTTCCTCCCCAAAGTTAACTTCCTCCTTGGGGTTGTGCAGATGATCTTGATCTGCATCCGTGAGGTCGTCCCCTTGTCCCCGTTGACGCATTTTTTCCCTTTTCTCTTTCTTACAGTGGGAATTCTTCTGCATCAGAATATTCATATGGAGAAACACAAACCGCTTGTGCAAAAAGGACGCACATGAATTGGATCCGTCCACGTTAGGTGTAGTCCTATTCACATTTTGCACAACGCACTGCCTGAACGTCGTGTTCATGTTTCTCTCGTCGATAAGCGGAATGGATACCTCCTTAAAAATGAACTCAAAAAAAGGAGAAATAAAATCACCTATTTCGAGGAATACTAAACTGCGCAAACAGCAAAAGTATTCCAACAGATAGGAATATTTCATTAGACTATCTAAAAAAATGCGGTTGCTTTGAAGGAAGAGCTGAAAAAATTCTTCCTGAAGGAACTTTTTAATGTACAAATCGTATGAAACATTTAATGACAAAATAGCTTTGTTAAAGTAAGGTAGAAGGTTTTCCTCATTTGGGCGCGTCGTCAAAATGGTCGAGATGATGTCTAGGGAGATGTTCTGGACGTGCTTCAAATTCTCGATGTTGTAGTAGTAGTTGAGGGTGTTTTTGTGCAATCGTTTGGGGCGATAAGGCGGTGGCGCGGGGGCGCCACCTGCGTCCTCAAACTCACCATCGATCTCATCACTGTACTCGCCGTCGCACCCCCCGCTGACGAGTGCAGCGGGGCCTACTGCACCGAGGCCAGCCTGATAATCCCCCCTCGCGGGGCGCTTCAGTCGGAGGGGTTCCACGCCCCCCTTCAAATAATAATCGACGTAGTCTACCTCCTTCTCGTGACTAATTTTCATATACAATCGAATGTTATTTCCGAGGCTTATTAGAAAAAAAACAAAGGAGTTAAAAAATTCTGGACACAAGACAAATTCACCCTGCTTCTTTATAAAGAGCATATGATTGGCAAATGGCCCTTCATCCCCCCTGTCCTGCGAGTACACAAAAAATTCATTAAAGGTATCGTCAATTTTTCCCTTCTTAATCCAACTGCTTATATGTTTCGAGTAGTACGCATTCAGCCCATTTAGAAGGAAGCGGAAAATTTTTTCCATCGACTTGTTATTTACAATTTGGCAATTCCTCCAGTACAGTACTGTCATGTCGTAGCAGGTGCATAACTTTTTGGCGTTATCATATAGGGCATTAAAATGGGTGTAGTCATCTATACCGATGTTATAAAGTAGGTAGGATAAGATAAAGTCGACATAGTCGTAGAGATTGTTCCACACGTAGAGGTACTTAGTCATTATAACCTGCAGGTGGATAAGGCTGAGCGATCTGAAGCTGGCAATTTTTTGCTCGTCCAGTAGTCTCCTTGCATTATCCGACCTGTTTCTTCGTTGATGGAAGGAGGCACTTCCTTTTGTTTCCTCACGCGTGTGGAGCTCCTCGAATGGGGTTATCTCCCCACGCGAGTGTACCTTCCCGTGTGAAGGCCTTCCCCTTTTGCGGGACTTCCAATTCACAAAATGGTCGACCCGAAGGTAATCCATAATGCGTATTCGTTCCATCCTGTTTAGGACACCCAAAATTTGTTCGTCCCTAACGGGTACAATGTTGTACTGCTTCATGACCAGCAAGATGTGATAGTTGTACAAAATTTCTATTACGCAATTCCATTCGGAATAAATACATTTTAGGGAGTCAATGAAGCACTCGAGGAAGTTGCCCGGGTAGTACACGTTGCTGCTCCTGCTCCTTCCACTGCCGGTGTCGGCGCTGCTGTCCAGATTGTTGCTCCCTTTGCCTTTGCTGCCAGTCAAACTCATCTGCTGGAAGAGAAGAGATAAATTGTTCTCCCCCTCATCATGGCTGAGGTGCTGTCTTATATATATAATGTGGTTAAAAATGTCCCTGAAATTGTATGGCAAAAAAAAAAAAAAATATCGAAATTTTTCCACCAAAAAAAAAAAAATGTTCAGGTAAAATAATTTGATACTAAGTTTTTTTATTTTTTTCACATAATTTTTAAACGTCCTTCTTCTTAAGTTGTACTGTTTGACATTCATCATTTGGCTGATAACTGCTCGGTATTGCGTTACGCCTCCATGTGGGGCCCTCCCCTCTCCTTTTTCACGCCTTTCTATATTTATGTAAAATAAAAAATCCTCTTTTACTTTGTTCTTGTCCATTACGTGGTTAAATAAAAAATCGGAAAAGTTCTTAAAAAAGTCTTCCTTAAATTTTATGGGGCAATTTAGGGATAGTATCATCAAGATTTCTTTTATGATAAATATTTCGCTTACGTAAAATGTGCCTTTCCTTTTATTTTTCCTTCCCTTAGTGGCTGTTCCAGCCTTTATAATATTCCCTTTATCGGCAAGGACGATGTTGCATCCATGTTGTGCACCATCCGTTTGGACGGGTTCCTTCCCACTCGATATGTGCACATAACGGGAAGAATCCCTCCGATGTGTGTAAATGTTCCCTGATGAATTATCATCCAGTGCGTTTCCACCTGGGTGACTTGACCTACCGATTATTTCCCCAGATGTCTCTTCCTGCCCCTCCTGTCCCGTATCAGTGGCGAACACGTTGTGCAAATTGTAAATTTCCGTCTCGTATATAATGTTCGTGTTGTCCCCTTCACTCTCATGATATTCCTCATAGAAAATGTTTATGTTATTAAAAAAGTATTGTTCTCTTGGTCTGCGTGGGAGAGATGCATCTTTGCGTTTGTTTTGTCTCATTTTTAAACTGGCAAGTATGTCTTCATCCGATGTTGTGCTAGAGCTATGAGTGCTAATCCGGCGACGTGAGTGACTTCTTCCCGCGCTAGTACCTACATTAGCATTATGTACACGTTCCTCCACATGATCGTACGACAACACATTGTCAAGGCAATCGACAGATTGTCTACTCTGGAAGGATCTTCTAGCATGGTGTCTCCACTGACTCCCCACATCTTCATAATGAGGAAATTCATAAACACACTGCGATATTTTTTTGATGACATTTTCATACGTTAAATCATTCTTCTCTTTCATATAGCTGTCTACATATTGGGCGTACTGCGTCTCGTGAAAGTGGTTGATATTGGGTTCTGCGTCACTGTGGCTGCTTGGTTGTTTCTGATAATTAGCTAGCTGGTTGTATATATCGCTTGGATAGCCATACTGTTGGAACTCATCTCTTTCAAGGTCGCCAATTTGTATGTCCTCTTCTCCAGAGAGGGATGACAATCTCGTAATCTCATCGTCCGTGCTGTATAGCTCTTTCAGATATTTTCTCTCCTCTTGAATGTTAAAACTGTGTATGTCATAGAGAGCATTTTGCTCATTTATGTTCAAAGGGGGGGCAGCCACTTCTTCTTTCTTGTGAAAATATTTATCGTATAGATGGTCAATGTATTGTGTGTTCTCACTTGTTTTGATTTCTCCAATCAGAAATAATAATTTTAAAATGATGAACTTCAATTCGTATCGGTCTTTCTTATCATATATATAAAAATTGTCATTTAGGAAAATCTCGCACAAATGTTTGAATATTTTTTTCCTCTTATATTCAGCATTAATTGTTAGCTCGTTGATGTACTCGTTCACATCATCTATGACTTCGTTTTCGCTAACATCTTGGAAGGGGTACAGCGCAATTTCATTTAACGATTTGTTTATCAGATTTGTCAGCACGTTCTCATTGGAATATTTTTCAAACTTGTTGAATAGGCAACTTAGATAATCCTTCTGCTTCTTCCTAATTTCCGTTATATAGGCGGATGTCATATTTTACGCGGAAGGGGTGCTCAGGGGTATCACAAGAGGTGCGCTCTTCAGTTTAGGGTTCACACGCGGTGACTCCCTATGGGTATATTTCAGAACAAGTGCACCTCTGCGATTCTTCACAGGGGTACGTTTGCAGGTTGGGAAAAGAGGACAAACTGTGAACACACACACAAAAAAAATAAGGCAGCTTTTTCGTAGTAACTCTTCCGATGGGTTAGAAGGAGGGACCATATCCACAAGGACTATTCACCGACGGGGTACTACAGTTTGGTTCTCCGAAAAACGGCAGACACACGCACACAGAGTAGGCACAGCGACACGCGCATAGACACACGCGTAGGGACTTGTACACGTGTATTCCCATTTATACAAGGGGATGGGTTTCACATGTGGAAAGGGGGGGAGCAATTTGGGCGATGTAACTGTTTAAGGGGCATTATAGACGCACGCATAATTTACACTTAAAGTAGTAACTGCGTGGAAATATAAACAAGGGAAGGACGGAGGCCTCAGATTCCAAACAAACGATTCCTCTGTGCACACATGTATAAACGTGGATGCCCGCGGCGAAATTATCCAAATAAAATTTCAATGACAATACATAACAAATTGAGGAAGATCAACGGAATTTTAAAATATATTCTTATCGTGTAGAACAACAACTTAATGTTATCAAAAATGTCATTGCTGTTCAAACTTATGTCGATTTTTTTATATTTTTTTAGCTTCTTTTCATTTATAATTAAAACGCTATTGATCAGCAGTACCACGCTCTCAAACAGCAGGAAGAAATACATACTCATTTTTAATACGTGGCGAAAACAGCAAAGATGGGAGAATTGCTGGGGGGGTAATTCATTTGAGGCTCGCTTATTTTGCTATTACGCTGCTATTGTACTACTATTGTACTGCTACTGTACAGCTATTATTTTTTATTTTTCTTTTTTTCCTCGATTTCCCATCACAGGCGACTTACGCTTGACTAACTGCTTCGCAGTTTTGTTTCTCCAAAATGGGAGGAGCCATAAACACTTGGTTTTTTTTTTTTAAAACGCAAAAGTGTCATTGGTTGGGAACGCGCAAATAGGTATCTTAATTATGGTAAATAAAATATCGCCTTAAAAAGGGCACAACGAATCCAGTATGTGACTTAGTGCGTACGTATGAGCATGGAAAAAATTTTACCGTGAAAAGCTAAGTGTGACATAATGATAACGAAAAATGACGAAATAAATATTGCCGCCATGAAGTAGCCCATTCGCATAACACACTTGAGCACTACATATGTATGCAAAACGTTTTGGGGCGTTGGGCAGCGGCTGGCCGATTGCAGCAAATGAGCAGTTGGTCAACTAAAGGCCTCCTTTTTACTTTTGAAATTAAAAGCCGCGCGGGAAAAATGGAGGATACGAAAAAAAAGGTGAAAAGAGAGTAAGCCGCCGAAAATGTGGAGATGCGCAAATTTGAAGAAGGTTTATAAAAAGGAAGAACCCACGGGAAAAAGACCCAAAAAAGGTAGTACATTTTATGTATATGCCCTCCCCCAAAAGGGTAAGTACAAACGCGCGACCCCCATACTGCATTGCTGCATGCAGAGGGATCAACAGAACATAGCTGGCGGGGGGAGGCCAATTTTAACCCAACGCCCATCCGCAAGAAAAAAAAAAAAAAAAACAGGGAGATGATACTCACTTCATTGGGCTATATCTAATATTTCGCGATTTTAAGTCGTCCAAATTGTAGCGGTTTCCGTACTTGTGGTTGTCTGCTTTCTCGCCTGCACCTCTTTCGTTCTCTCCCCTCTGGTTTTGTTTTTTCAGGAAAAACTCCTCAATTATTTTCCGTTCATGCTCTGTCATATCTGCACTGTACTCCACATCATTATTGATTTTATTCTTCGCTATTTTGGGCACCTTTATCCTGTCATTCTGGGCGGAGGTAGATGTGTCGTAAGTGTACTGAAACGACACCACGTCCCTTTTGATCATGTGCTTTGTTATGAGGCTAGCATCCCTATCACTTATGTAGTCAGTGTAAACTTTAATCTTTTCTATTGACTTGCATGCAGACATGATGTTATTTAAGAATTTGAGAATTCCTTTTATGTCACTGAAGGAGTTGTGTTGCATAGAAAGGATCGTCAGGTAGCTATTTTTGTTCAGTTGCGCAATGTTTCGGTTGACACTCATCAGGAAGGCGTTTCCCAGGTCGCAGTTGTCCAGGCTGACAGGGGGGTAGAGAAGGGGGTAGCGAAAAAATAGGTGCACAAAGTTGATGCACAAAATGGATGCACAAAATGGGTGCACAAAGTGGGTCCGCCAAGGGCGGACATATGCAAAGCACACAAGGACAGACGTATAAAAAATAATCGCTACTGCATTATATGCTGACACACGCTTCGACGCGAACTTATTCGATGCAAACTTCGTCGACACGAACTTCTTCAATGGGTCCTCCCATCTCGCATTACCTTATAATCTTGCACTTGGTATTGTTCAAGAGGTAAAAAAAAAATTCATATATGGAGGGGTGCGTCCCGATTTTCAGATCACATAGGTTTAATTTGCTGAGAAGGAAAGGGAATGAGCCGTTAGTGTGATGCCTCGACAATGGTAAATGGGGGGCTTCCCCCATTGGAGAGGCTCTCCCGGTGGAGGGGTTCCCCGAACAGCGCTTTCCCTTCGCTTTTCGTCAATCCGGAGAATTTGCACTGTTCCCGCCTATTCCATTTTGACCAATGGTTTTTGCATATGCGGGGGACTTACAAAAAAATGGTGAAGTTGGAGAGAAAAGTAATCAGCTCGTTTATGTCCACATTCGAGTCGATTAAATTATTGCCCAGAGAGAGTTTGTAAATTTTAATTCCGTAGAGGTACTTCTTCACTGAATTGAAGTAGGGAATGTCTTCGTTGCGGAGGTAACAGTGGCCAAGGTTCATGTTTTTCACGATGCCCTTTTTGCACAGATCCAGGACAAAGTGAATTTCTTCTCGCGTGACGTTGTAATGGGAAAAGTTAATCTCCTGAGGGGGTGGAAAGGAGGTAGATGTGGTGGTAGCGTTAAGCGAACAATTAGGTGAAGAATGACTATACACCCGTGTCCGGTTAGTCACGTGTGATAATCCAAACGTTGCGACAACCCCCCTGGAATTACATTTTCACTTCGCATAATAAAGTAATTCAAAACCTTGTCGTTCACTTCTCTACCGTTGCTGATCTGCTCTTGGTAGTATGCCTTCCCGATGAAGCTGAGAAAAAAAAAAAAAAAAAGGGGGTAGCCATAAAATGAAAGTAGCTACCTGCCTGTGTGCAACAGAAGTCGAAGGGACTCATTTCCCCTCCATGTGGAGACTCTCAATGCGTAATCAGAGATGACTCTCCAAAACTTCCAAGGATATACACACCTTTCCCGTACTATGCTGTGAAAGAGAAGGATTATATTTTTCTTGAATAAATTGAGCTTAATCTTTACTTCCTTGTAGTTAAGCAGTGCCTCAATCACCACTATGCTCATGGTGCCTTTCCTGACTACTGAGATGTTTCTGATGGTGTAGAGCCTTTCCTCTGGATTCACGACGTGCAGGTAGGAGAAGTACAGCTCGAAGGTGACTTGGGTGGCTTTTCCCTGGGAGAAAAATGGGGGGGGTGCGGTGTAGAGGTGCAATGGTGCAGTGGTGATGAGGCGACGCGACGAAGTGAAACACCCCGTCAAGGCGCACAAAGTGATCGCTCCCCCCCCCGCGTTTCAGATTCGAAGCGAACACGTTGTCAACGCGGTCAATGATTCCCTATGTTATCGTGGCTTACGTCCTCCAACATGTCCGCGATCCCCCGCAAGTTGCACGGGTAGGAGTCCCTAACTTGGTCGATGGTGTCAACATGGAAAATGTCCGGCGGGGACTTGACAAATTTGCGCATTTCGATGAAAGATTTCCTCCTCTTAAACTCGAAGGATATGTCGAATATATCACTCTGTATGGAATTCCCACAAATGTATAACTTTTTAAAATCTTTATTTAGCTCAAAAAAAATATTCAGGAGAGACATCACGTCGTAATAAGTCAATGTGTTGAACTCTGCATTGACATAACTGATGGCACTTGCAAGTTTTCTGCTTCCATTCATAGAATCTCTGACAATGTTTACTATGTTGTTTATGTTGTTACTCTTTAATTCGCAGCTCACTAGGCTGAGAAAGGAAATATTGGTACTTAACAAAATGTTAACGATAAAATATTCAGCCGATTCGTTTGACAGATCGGTGAAGTCTAAAATGAGTTCCTTTACTTGTAGACATTTAAAACATTTGATTACATAATCCACGTCCTGCTTGATTTGTTCAAATGATAAATCTTGGAACAGTGGGTTCTTTGTCAAGTTCAACGAATTGCATTGTTTCACATTTGAAATGGATAGAAATTCAGACAAGTCTTCAATGGTCATTGATCTGTTGGCTAATTTGATGCTGGAAATATTTGCTACGTCTTGGGGGGATGAAAGGATAATTTTATCTGCATTTTTTTTATATGGGACATTTTTTAAATTCAATGTTCTACATTCCAACAGGAAATAATTAACAGCATTTTCAATTACCCCACTTGAAATGGAGTTCAAATATTTTACATACTTGACTAGTAAAATTCTTTTGTATATTTTGTTAAAGATGATGCTCATTTGTTGTTTATTGCCTACGATGGAACAGCGAATTGTGCCTGTTTTTTCGTTCACCGTTTTTAGCAATATTTCGTAGGTGTTATTTTCCTTTTTCTCTAGTTTTGCCGTCGTATCTTCGTTTATTTCGAGGGTGTACAGCAGTGCCTCTTCTTCGATCTGTTTCCCCTGTCGGTAGAATTTGATGTCGTACACGAGGATTTCCATGAACAGGGTTCCTTCGCTAGTTCTCTGCGCGGCAAGACATATAATGGATCGGTAATATATAACGGGTATGGTGTAACGTGTAATGGGTAACGCGTAACGTGTAATGGGTAATCCGTAACGTGTAATGGGTAACGCGTAACGTGTAATGCATAATGCGTAACATATAATGTATAATGCGTAACATATAATGGCGCCGGTTCTCACACCAGTGAACTCCCCATTTCGCTTTTCCATTTTCACCTCTTCCTGTTCATCCTTGTCCTCTTGAATAAGAAAAAATTGGACATTGTCGTACAGGTAAGTAACGTTCACTCTCGGGTCGTTCTGGTAAAATATCTGTTCGTTGGAGTTATCATTATAGTGCACCCGGCGTATATTTAAATATTCGTAGGACGAAAGGGTTAGTGATGAGTAGGTGTAATCAGAGGTGTTCATCTCTGACGTGTTCATTTCGTTGATGTCGAATAGGTCATCTTCTTCCAGTTGGTTGACCTCGTCTTCCTCCTCCACCTCGTCCCTGTTGACGTCTGCGATTTGGGGGCGGGTTGTTTGCAGTGAGTTTGGTTTGGCCGGAAATAACACTGTTCCTACGGCAGTAATATTGGCGGCAAAAATTTTGCAACTCTTTCGGTTACTGTTACAACCATCGCCATAACCGGTGCCGTAACCGCCACGATAACCAACGTTATATGCGACGACGCACCTTCCTGGATCTTGGCCAACAGGTTGTACCCTCCCTGAGGGGAAAATTTCATGGCCTTACGCTTTTTCTCTTTCTTCTTCCTGTCCTTCTTATTCGACTTCAAGTTCTTAAGCAGATATTTCTTCTTATGAACCCTTCGGCATATGTAAAATTTTAGCCTCCTTAACTCTGACCTACTAGAGCGCTCGCTTTTTTTCACTGCTTTGTATTTCCTCTTCAAGTTACTTATGCTTCTACTGTCTATATGATCGAATGTTACGGAACTGTCCGTTTGGTCGTCACTTACATCCTGCCACTTGTTTTTCACATCTGATACACCTTGATCCGTGGGTTTGTCCTTTTCCGAAATGCCCTGGACACTTTCCAAATCTGCTTCTTCATCTGCACTTGGGTTTTCTTCTGGGACGCCTAAATTTTCGAGTCTGAATTTTTGCACATTTTCTTCGGCCTTCTTCGTTTTCTCTTCGTCGAGGAAGTCCTTTTTTATTTGCTCGTACAGTTGATTCTCTGCACATGGGCGGAAATAGTACGTGTGTGGGAGGCATATCACGCGGTGTAATTCCCGCGCGCTGACGAGCGCACGAGCGATGGAATTTCAAAAAGGTTGAGCGAAATGTAGGGAGCGTTTCCGTTTGATTTGTTTGTCCCATTTGCTTCGCTTGCCTCCTTTCCGACTTACTCCTCAAGTCATAAATGTTGATCCTCTTTTTGTTATATTTGTCCCTAAAATTTTGCGTAATTCTGGAGAAGTAGCCAGGCGAGTATAGCGATTCCACGTAGTCGTATTTGCGCAGGAGCTCCATTTCTTCTTTCACCTTTTTCTCATTCCACTGGATTTTTTTCTTCTTCAGAACGCAATCCGTCTTGGAAAAGCAAAAAAAAGATGATGAGTTATTTAAAAGGGGAAGAGAAATGCCTTACTGGAGATGTTGACATGTTTACACTCTTGTGTCTTATGGAAGGTGCCCAGCCTGGTAAGAACAAATTCAGCGCTGTTGGAATAACTCCCCTCATTTGACACATGAGAAGTTACATAAGCTGACGGAAGGATTTTTTTTTCTTTTTTTTTTCTCCCTTTTCGCGCGACCACACGTGTAGACACCTACGAAACAGCAGATATGATCATGCATTTTCTTACACTCTCATCAGAGTCGGATTCGTATTCTTCGCTCTCTGATTGGTTTGATAAAAACACATCCATGTTAAACTGGTCCGGTATGAACTTTGAAAAATCTCTGACATTTAGTTCTGTCTTAACTTTGGTTAACAAATTGTGTATGTTGCTTTTTATGTCAAACTCTTTTTTATTTCCTATGATGTAAGTTGGAGAGCTATATTTTCCCTTCTCATTGACTTCACGATCCGAGTTATCGGAGATCGATTTTTCAGAAACGTCCACCTCCTCGTCATGGAAGAAGTTATCATAATGTAGATAATCCAAGATGTAAGATCGGTTGCATTTGCTTTTTATCTTCGGGGTTATATTCAAGGGTTCTTTTTTCTTCCTGACGTTTGCTTGTCCGTCTTTCGCCTGCATGGAGGGGAACGCGTACCGCGTTGTTCGGTTTTTGGTCACGCAGTTGGGGTTGTTATCGGTTTGGTATACATTTGGTCATTTGGTTATCTGCTTATTTGGGTATTTGCTGATCTGCTTATTTGGTTATTTGCTTATTTATAATTTGTTATTATTTTTGTTTTTCTTTTTTTCCGTTCCCCTCTCTCTTACCGTGCCTCTTTCCTTCCCCTCGAGTTCCTCCTTAGGCCTGCGAAATAGAATGGCACGCAACGCAAAATGAACGACACAGCATGCATACACGCAACTGCAAGGATGTACGTTGGGACAAAATTTCAAATGTGTCTCCATCGAGCCAATTTAACACACTTTGAAGAACCTTACCTGGCATTTTCATCAGATTCTAAGTCGAAGTCTGAAGGGGGCGTAAACATAAAGCGGGATTTTATTTTAGGCCATATGGTAGGCATTTCATACCCAAATTTTGTGTCCCCTCCTTCGGTATGGTTGGCTCTACATAGGTGTTCACCTCCTTTTGGGGAGTTCTTTGGAGGAGAAACGTACCATTGTTGAGGACGTCCAATATCAAGTTTTCTATTTTGATCTTGTCACTACTAGGGTCCTGCTTGTAAGCCATCTTCTCGTAATTATCCACTATAAGGGCGTCGTTCAGACGTATATCTTTAAATTTTTTTTTCTTGTATCCATTATTTTGCTCCTCCTTATCGACAAAGTAGAGATATCTGCTCCTGTCGGACCACTTGTTCATCCCGTCTGAGAGGAGAAAATTGGTCCTTTTCGCGTTTCTGCCAAGTGGCACTTACACAGCGTAGCACCTCTGCATCGTCGTACTTTTGCAGTGCACCACCTTTGCAACAACGCCTTTGGCAAATGCGCTCTTTTCTTCCAAAATGACAGTCGTGCTCCGCTTAGTTCATTTGGCTCACCTTCATACAGCAACATCTTACTGTCCGAGAAAAAATTTTCGGCGGTCATCCCTGTGTTTGTCATTTTCTCCTCCACGTTTTTAGTTATGTAGTATTCGTTTGTTGCATTGATGTATTCGTAATTTTTCTTGTTGTCTCCGTCTTTATATGTGAAGTTGTAACTCCCTCCGTAGAAGTCCTTCTGTCCTGCGCGTATTTCATCCTTAGACACCTTTATAAAATCGTTAACGAAGCTGACGTTGATGTAGTCCTTGTCCCCGCCGAAGTCTCTTTCTCTGTTGAAGTTACAGGCGTGAGGAGGCGCGAGAAAACGCGAGAAGGCGCAAGCAGGCACGTGTGTATGTGCCTAGGTCTCTACGTCACTACGTGTTTACGTCTGTATGTTCATATGTGTGTATATCTAAGTGGGTACTCATCAACCTGGAGGCTAGCGTAACTCCTCCCCTTTTGTGGGGATAATGATATATCTGTACCTTATGTAGGACGGGTCAATTAGGATCATGTTATTGTCTCTGGGCGCTACCAATTTTAAATCAATATTCTCGTGTTCTAAAAGATGAAAAATCGTGAAAAAAAAAAAATTAAATAAAATTTCAGGTTAGGCAAGGGACCCAATTGCGAAGAAAACATTTAAAAGGTTACCTTTCTTTTCCAGATTCTCAAATTTGTGCATATATTCACTTCCAATTTTGCAATACTGCTTTGAGTTTTCATCAAATTTGGTGTTCCCATCCTGGTCTATGAGGCGCGTTGCAGTGGGTGGGGGACATGTTTATAGATAATTATATTATTTTCACTTTTTTTCAGAGAAATTTTTACGTTTTAACTTTTTTACCTGCAAAGAATTCTTCATCGCTGTTATGACTGGTCTCCCCACATTCAATCGTAGATATGAATGCATCTATGCAGGTATACATCGACAAAAAAAGAAAGGAGGCAATTCCATTTTGTGTTAAGGCAAAGGTTACTTTTAATCACCCAAGTTAAGATTCAAAGGGGTGTTATATCGATTCCCCTCCGAGAATGTGTACAGTGATATATGCAGACATTGTAATGGCAATGTGACTGAATGGTTCCATTTTTTTTCTTTTTTGCTAACCGTTCAAATTAGTCAGTCTGTCTTTTGTCACTTTTAACGGATTGTCCATTTTGTGCCTAGGTTAACTTTGTTTCATTTACAGAAGATTCACAGAAGATTCATTCTAAGTGGCAAAGGAGGAAATGGGTCAAAATAAGGGGCAAAAGCAAAGGTGTGGCAGTTACCATGCGTTATGAAATTGTTGAGGAAAAAAGGTGTGCTTTTCACGTTTCTCCTAAAATGGGGGTACCAAATAGGGGAATAAAAAAAAAAAATTAACAAAAGATACGCAAGAAGTAGGTAAAATGCGAAAAAATCGCTATTTATCCATCACTTATAAGCAATGAAGAAAAACGAGTATCTCAAAAAAATTAAGGAAAACAAATGTGCCTAGGATGGAAAACAAGGGGAGGGCTACACTGATTTACAATCCTTTTTATTTCCCCCCTCCTTGTGTATTTCTTCATGCCAGTTTTTTTTTTTTTTCCCCTGAGCAAGAAATACTCGACGAACAGGAAAACTGCAGTGCCACAAATGTACCGCATAGGAAAACAAAAAAAGAAATATTTGGTGGACGAGCGTGAGTCACAACTCTTCCACGAACATGGGTGTGTCCTCTGGCTAATTAAAGTGAAATTTGTTCTATACACGTGCATACAATAATTAGCTGTGTTTACGAAGAATGTCATTTTTGCATGAGAATTAAGGCGTATTTTTTTTATTTTTTTTTTCTTGTATGTGTTGGGGTAATCCTACTTTCATGGTGATGAGCAGAAGAGACATTTCAATTGGACGCGAGCCCCCCTTAATTTTATGAAAGGGAGTAAAGGTAGAAAGGAAAAGGTTGTTTTTGCCCTGAGAATTTGCCAATCCCCTCTACACAGCCGCTCTCCACAAACGGTATGCATAACCGTCTTCCCCCCCCCCGGCGAACTACCATGAAAAACAAAGTCTACCTGTTGCTCGACGAGAAATTATTTAAACTGAAGGAGCTATATTTCTGCCTCATTTGCTCAAAAATAAAGAATGAATATAATCTGAAACAGGAAATTGAATACTACTTTTGCAATGGCTGCACCCAAATATACACAAGAAGCGAGTCGGCAATTTATTCCTATGAATGTTTGCGCTGTTTCAAATGTCCTTGCTGTTTTAGCTGCTTGACGATCTCACAGAAATGGTTGGATAGGCCAGTTAAGAAGGTATGCACATTGGAGCCACTGAACAAAGGAGGAAAAGATGGTAGCGCTTGGGGTAGTAACAATCAAGAGACAAATAATGACCCATGTGAAAAGCTTAACCAAAATGGTGAAAACCACGTGGAGGGCGCTTCCACCGGCACATTTTTCTCAAATAATGGGAAAAAATCAAGCGATGAGAAAATTTTCTTCGAAGGGAATAGCGCATTAGGTATGGATGACGAAAATGACATACAAGGGGGAAGTAACAAAGTGAGTAGCAGGCTGTACGCCTTTTTTAAAAGAGGAAAGAATGTGTTTTATTTCAAGTGCCCCTACTGCTTATGGTCCTCCATCACCTCGGTGTATAATACAAAGTTGGACGAATTAATTGGCGACATGATACTATCGGAAAGGAACTGCGTTTATAAACGCTACTTCCAAACGGTGCTAGACGAGCTGTTAAGAAGCAATGAACACCTGAAGGAGAAGAGAAACTTTAAAAGAACAAATCAACATGTCGCTTTGCATAAGATAGGGAAATTAAAGTCCATCCGCGACCTGAACAGTTACATGGAAGCATTCGGCACTACGAGGGAGGATTACTCACTGGAGGGGGTAACAAGAAGAGCAGCCGCAAGTGTCGCGGCAAAGGAAGAGACAGAAAACACGCTCATATGTAAGTCTAAAATAAAGGTGGACAGAATGCGTCTGACAGATATCCTAAACGGGGAACATATTAAAAATCGCGAAATCTGTCGAGACATTTTTGAGTTGGAAAATGAACACGTGGAATATTTAGATCCGATGGAATATTCGCCACAGGGTGGGTTACCAGAGGTAGTGCAGCGCCGGGAAGGAAGAAGCGGCCTCATGGGGGATGATCATCCCAGTGGGGAGAGCCAAACTCTCGGCACGAGTGAAGCCCTTCCAAAGGAGCAGACCATAGAAGAGTTAAAAATACAGGCGAATGGTACCCTCATGATTCACACAAAGAATGACCTACCAATTGGACACATACAGGATTACCCGTACAATTATTATAAAGGCATGAGCGCATTGCAACCCCTGAGAATGAAACTAATAAACATGAAATCGAAGCGGTGCAGTACGTGTAAGCACTATATATTGAAGCTTCATAGTTCGAATGTAGCTTCATCCTTTCGACTGGATAATAATGCAATGAAATTTATCCCCAAAATATATATTAATGACTTCAGATTGGTGAAGAGAAAGAATGGAATTCTAAATTTCGTTTTAGTGAATCCACTCGACTCAGAAATGAACATAAAAGTAGTCCCCGAGATCGAAAATAATTTTGTAAAAAATCTGAATGGGAGTAAAATACCGATGAATTGCAAATGCAGAGCTGCTTCCTTTGAGTTTACGATGGACACATATGACGAAATTATAGATGAACTGCTAAATGAAGAAAAAAATGACATCAAAGATGTTTTCACGCGTGAATACATTATTGTAAAGAAGCAGAATAACATGGCCTTAATAATTATGAGCTTTTTTTACACAGACGAGGGGGAACCTGTCCGTGACGAATTTTATTCAGAAAAAGACAAGCCAGGGGATAACCCTCAGCAGGGGAATCAAGATATCGATTTATCCGCTGATCAGGTGAGGAAACTAAATTTCCCGCTAACTTTGGAGTGTTCCTTTTCTGACAAATCGAAGAAGCTACACAAATTAAAGCTAAATCTTCTCTTCACCAATAACATCAGTTTGCGTCCCTTTCGCCATTATGCATTGCGTGACTGCGATTAGGTTGGTTGGACGGCACTCACGATGTGGTTGTCACCAATTGGGGCACCTATCAATTCGAGGTTGGCAATCAGCAGTTAGGAGTTCCCTCCTTCTTTTTGCCACCCATTAAGCTTAGAAGCCCCCATATCTTTATATCTCCCCTGGCTTAAGAGTCGCTTGATAAGCAAATTTTTTATGCCACCTGTAGCAAATGGCCCGTCTCATTGTTACTACTCGATATTGTGTCCCCAATTTTAGGAACTCCTCACATAGAAAAAATATTTCGTACATGCATCAAGTTAGCTGCTTTTCGCTCTTGAGTATTTCGCTTTTGTGTTTACCCAAAAGATTTGACCCCACTGCATTGTGCTTATCCTATTCTCTGCACTTTTCCGTTTGACCTTAATACCATTTCGCGCTGATCCTCCAGTGGGCGATTGGAATAATTAACTAAACTACACCTGTACAGTGATTAATTAGGAGAATATTCAAAAAAAAAAATTAAAAATAGAAAAAAAAAGCGACACCATTACGAGGCACTGTGAAGCGCTTATCCATGGCGCTGCGTTGCCCAAGCATTGCTATATCCTATGCAATCATTTGTGAACTAAGAAAAACGTTCCGCTAGCAGTGAGGCGTAATATGCATGCACTGTATACGTACTAATATACTGTTGTTGTATTGGTGGAAGAAAACTACCCATTCGAGTTCACATGCCACTGGGGTACTGGCAAAAAAAACAATCATTTAAGTGATGGGAAAAAGTGTCAAAAGTTGATGAGCCCTGTGGGTGGATGTGAAATTCTGTGAACATCTGATCAACTGCGAAAATGCTGAAGGGCTGCTGCCCGAAGGGGGATAGTTGACAGATGCCATTAGGCGCTTGACGAGCGAACAATTAATTTATATATATACCTTGTGAGCTCTGGAGAGTCGGTGAGAAGGCGATTCGTCAAGGGAAGGAAACTCGCAAGATGAACAGTCGTGAAGAAACAGTTGCGGCGTAGCAAATCGGATATACTTCCTTCTTGTCGCTTTGGCGTCATTCTTCTCCAGTTTGGGGCATTTCCGCCCATCCTTATATATGTGACCCCACTCCCTTTTCTAAGCACCACACCAATTAAAGAACCATGAAAGGCGCAAAAAAGGCGGGACGAAAAGCATCACCCAATCAGGAAAAGCCCTACGGCGATCAAAGCTTTATGAAGTTATACGACTCAGGTTCTGAGTATACCATGGATAATAATGATGGAGGCCCCACATTTGCTCACCTTAAAAACATAAAAATTTGCAATGAAGATAAAAAGAAAACGCTCAGTAAGATATGCTGCACCAAGAATTACCTTTTTGTTGGTTCATCTAGCCTGTTCAGCCAAGTGCGCGTCTTTAATTACACCAATTTGATCAACTCTAAAAAGGAGAGCGAAGATTTGGGTAGTATCCCCATAAAAGGCGACAATACTCAAACAAGTGAAGGACAAAGTAAAAAAAATAAAAAGGAAGAACCCTGTGGACAGAATACACATGGTGAAGCTTTCATCAGCTTATGTGACATTTACAGGAAGAGCAAATTTTATACGGCCAAACGGGATTACAGCAAGGATAACATGCTAAGCATAGATCTTTTCCAGAATAAAATTAATAGAAAAAACGTGAAGAGAAGCGACAGTGTGCATAAAAAGGTACATCAAGGGCATTCCACGAATGAGGCGAACTCGAAGGAAATTGCACCAAAGGGGGAAAGAGACATCAGTGACAATATTGTAAAGGAGGAGAAGGAGAAAAAAAAGGAAAAGAAACCGACCCAAATCGATTTAAAGGACAAACTGATGAATTTCAACCAGAAGGGCTACCTAGAATTAAGCGACAACGAAACAACATTTCGGGAGGAATATTTATACTATGATAACTTTGCGGGGATTACCCCCCCAAAAAAAGACATACACCCCATTAGAATTACAAACGAAATGAGAGAAAACGAAAGAATCAAAAGAGAAAAAGAAGAAGAAATGGAAAAGAAGAAAAAAATTGACGAAGAAAATTGGAGAAATGAGCAGTTAGCAAAAAACGGTTTCTACTTGAATAAGGACATGTTAGAAATAAACGTAGATGTAATTAAGAGAAAAACAACACAGGTGAATAATTTGCTAGAGTACATTGGAGCTTTCGTTAATGTTTCTTCCCCAATCATACTGATGAAGACAAATGGTGAGGAAAATATTTTATCTGTTTTAACCTTTGGAGGGGATGTGTACAGCTATGACATCAGTGAACATTCGCTAAAACAGCTGAGGGAAAAAAGAATTAAAAAAATCGAATTTTTTAGTAATATAGAGAATTATTTTATTCAGCAAGAAAAAAATAATACATCAAATGAATTCTTAGAGGAAGATTTCTCAGAGGAGGTAACTGCATCGCCATTGTCTCTCTCCAAATCACATTTCACCAATTCGGTAAAATATTTTGATTTCCTCCCAGATGATAAAACACTAATTTGTGTGGGACAAAACAAGGACTACTTCCTTTCATTTATTAACTGCCATAATGGCAAGAAAATTATATATCATAAGAAAATAAAAGTTAAAAAGCCTAACCACAACATTGCCCTGAACTCGAATAAAATGAGTAAAGACAAAATGCTACCTACGCTCATGCACGATTTTAGCTATCTCTATGTGGAACGGGAGAAAAAAAACTTTAATGGAGAAATTGGGAATTATGTTTACATTGGATCGTCCTGTGGTTACTTAGTTTTCATTTTTCTTGGCGACAAGTTTCTGCGCTTTGTTAATAATTTACTGATCGATGACCACGTGAGGAGCGGCTCCCTGTTCACCTACGACGAAGGGTCCGATGAAAAGGAGTGGGCCAAGATCGTCACCCAGAGCGTCCTAGGCAACGTGGACGATGTGTATACAGTAAGGAAGGACCAGTTGTGTGCGCTCTTCGGGGATGAGCACAACTTGGGCAGCGGTACGAAGATGAATATGAATGGCAGTCGAAGCGGCAATTTGGATGACAATCTGCATGGCAACGTCGGTGGCAACCTGAGCAGCACTGCGCATCGACCCAGTGACCAAGGCACACCCGCCGACAACCCCAAGGAAAACATTTTCAAAGAAGCAGATCACAACTCCTTTTCCTACGCATTCTGCATTGCCAAGAATGTAAAAATAAATTCCATTATAAGCCTCAATACACACAAAAATGAGCACATTCATTTGATTGTAGGGCTTAACGATGGACGATTGCTGGACTTCCTTTTTCGTATATCCCCACACTTTACTCCCACCTCCTCTTCCATCACGAGCTGTGGGTACTACCCCACTTTAAGTCAAAATTGTTCGGAAAATAAATCCAGTTATAATAAGTCCCAAAGAAATGGGAACACGGAGTGTGCTGCGGATAATCCTTCTTCCCGTATTGATAATATTAACTTCATACAAGAAAATGAAAAAGAATTGTATGACTTCACAGGGTTACACAAGTCGAGCAAAATAAGTAAAATCAATTTGTATCAAAGTGACTCGCAACATGTTCTTCTTTTTATAAATTCAAATATGAAAAGAATTCGCGAAGTGTCCGATAAAAAATTTTACACAACATACGTGTTAAATATGTATAGTAAACAAATTAGCATCCTGCATGAGCATCTCGCCTACATTATTGATTCCTGTGCATCCTCTCATTTTTATTTTTGCCTGGATGACAATAACACAATTGCCGTTTTTGATTCGACTCGCGAGAGGTAAAACTGTGTTGCGCGTTACCCGCGCGCGTGATGCGGCGTGAAAAGAGGAGTTTGTTTTTTGCGTAATTGCAATTTTCAGGAGGTATCGTCGTAGTGAAAATGATACGGAAAAAAAAGTAAAAGAAAAAGTAAAAGAAAAAGCAAAAGAAAAAGCAAAAGAAAACAAAAAAAAAGTAGGTACCCCATGTTCGTGGACCCCCATTTACCAACAAATATCATGACAGAGTCCTACCTGCAAAGTTCCACGTAAAATGTAAAGACACCTCTACGCATAATCGTTCTGAATCTTGGCAAAATTTGAGGGTACCTTTTTTCGCGCTTTTCAAATTGGCCCCCGTTCGGCAGGCACCTACCGGAATGTTCAAATTTTAGCAAATATTTAAATGTGCCTTTTTTTTTTCCCCATTTTGAGAACCACCTTTGCGCAAGCGGATCGGCAATGCGCTTTACACATAATCGCTTCGCCAATTTAAACAGTTTTACTCCCTCGTGGTGACCACTCCACACATGTATGCTCACCTGATCCAGGCTCCCCACCACCACTGCGATCAACCATGACGCTGATAAGAAAAGTTAACAGGAACGTCCTGCAGACCTTCAAAGAGCTATACAGAACTGGGAAAAGACTGAACATACATAAAACCACCTTTCTGTGCCAAACGTATGAAAAAAATTGCTGGAGAAAAACAAGACTGAGGGAAGAAAAGGTTTATCATAAGAAGTATAATTTTTTAAAATATGCATATGATATTGTCAACTACGGAATTGAAAATAATTTAAAATTTCAAATTGAAGAAAAAAACATTGTAGAAGAGGAAGACTCATACATAGAAGAAGAGAGCAAAGACCATGAATGTGAAAAGAGCATAAAGGAGGAATTAACCAAAGTTGATATGGAAATAAAAAATATTTTAAAATTGCTGGAAGAGGTAAATAGGAAATATAATCGGAATACAAAAAATGCCACACATATATATTACCATTTTATGAACAAAAATGTGCCACTGAAAAAAAGTGAGTTTGTAAAAAAATATCATAAGGTGTACAACACAGCAGATTTGACAATACTTTATTATTATATAAAAAAATTTAAATTACTTACAAATAAGAAGAAGCATTTAACGAATACGTTGCACGTTTTAAAATTGAGGAAAAATGCCTTTGACAGTGTGAACTACTCCTTTTCAGTGAACAAGCTAGAGGAGATGTTCTACGAGCACGCGAGAAAAATCAACGTGTTGTGATTCGCCTCGCCTATGTGTATGCAGGCAGTTTCCCTCTCTTCATATACACATGATATTTGCGTACACCCGTGTGTGTGCTTATTGCCATTTTTTGAAGCGGGGGTAGCACCCTTTTTGATACTTCTTTTTTAAAACGCCCCCCCTTGGTGAGGAGAAACTGTGGAGGGCATACCCACTCTTCACGGAACAAGCCAGGGCGAGGCCTCCTCCCTATTCCCCAGTTGGTTATCCCATTTCGGAAGGATAAAAATCGTTCAGCAGTCTCTTCTGATTGATAGTCAGTTCGTTAGTTTTCTCGTTCACTTCTCTTTTATTCGTATCTATCTCGTTTTTTATGTCTTTTACTTGGTTTTCCATGTGCTCCTTAAAGTTGATGATCTGCTGTTTGGCTTCGCATATGTCGCTGCTTAGCTTCAAAGGGGAACAGAAATGGGGCGCCCTAAAGACTTGTACATTTCTGCCACCCATGAAGGGGATTCATATGCCTATCCATGTGCAAGCAGGATACACAACGATTACGTCACAGTGACAAAAACAGACGTACCAAGTTGAGCGACTCCTCCATCTTTTTGTTCAGTGCCTCGTTTTCTTCGTTTATCAGCTGCAAAATTTCGATGTTTTTTTTTTTATTGTCTATTTGATTGTTTTCCTTATAAGTCCGTAGCTCCTCCTTAACTCTCTCTATGTTTGCGTTCATTACGCTTAGCATCTGGGGGGAAGGGAAAACACACACGGGCGGTGGTAAATAAGTGACTTTTTAAAATGGAGAAAGGGTCCATTGTGAAGGTATCTCCCGGATTCGTGCGCACATATATCTAAATGAATAAGAAGAAACAAATGTAACCGCTTGACACAGCCAAGCATAAAGGTGCAAACGTTGGTGAATGATCATACCCCCTTTATTTTGTCGAAGTAAGTCCGCATGCTCGTTTTGATGAGATTTATATTTTCCTCCTTCTCCTTCTTCAATTTGTTCACATCACTCTTTACAATTTCGAACTCCTCCACGAAGCTGCTGTTGTCCGTTGCTTTATCTTTATTGTTTCTGTTTAACTGGTCCAGGTAATATTTTAACTCCTCCAGATTTTCATGTGTGTTATCCTTAAGGGAGTTTATTTTTTCATCAAAATATGCCTTCATTTTGTCTATATGCTCGGACAGATCTTCATGCTTCCGTCTGTTACTCTCCTTTTCTTCTAGGAACAAATTGTGCAGGGTTTCAAAAACATTTTTCCCTGCGTCCTTGTGAAATGAACAGGGGGATATGTGTGTGTCCTGATAGGGGTAGACCCTCCACGTAAGCAAAGGCGCAGTGGAATCATGATCAATGTGTATGTTACGTGGGTCACTCATACTATGCAGGGGTCGGGGAGAACGAGTTGCGTTAAACTCACAATGTGCAAGATGATTTATGGTGCTTACTTTCTTTTTTAAAGCCTCGGCGGCATGTTCATTCTTTTCAGGGGGCGGGGTTTTCACGTTAGAGCGCACCATTTTGTTTCATTTTTAAATTGAACGTCTGAGCATACGGGGCTGTGCGTATCTGCCTGCGTACGTGCGTAAGGGAAGGGTCACAGACATATATACGCACGTGTCTGTACATCTATACGCACACATCTGACAGGATCATCCCTTTTAAGCCCTTTCCACGAAAGCCATAACCCAAGGGACACTTCGATACCTGCTGCGCTGGGGCAGTAAATTCAAAAGGGGAAAGAAAAAAAAAGGAAAATTCTTTTTAATTATTTTTTTTTTCACGCTTTATATCAACAAGACAGGGAATTTTGTGAGATAACATCGGTTTGAATGTTTGGCGGGGGACATAAAAAAAAAAAAAAACTAATTAATGAGACGTACGTGTGTACGCATATATGTACACATGTAAATGCATAAGAAGTAATGACTTCATATGATTCAAGTATTTTAAAAAAAATACTGACACTGCTAAACGTTTCATATGGTCTAAGAATTAAAAAAGGCGATGAGGGGGGGGAGTGTTAAAGTGAAAAATCAAAAAGCGCAAGATGCGTGATATCCTGTTATAGGTGGAGCAATAAAAGTAACAAAAACGAAAAATACATTAAAAATGGGAAAGCTGTAAAAGGGGTGATAACTAATAAAGGTAAAAAAAAGAAAAAAAAAATTAACAAAGAGTAGAAATAAAAATATGTTTTGTGTTAATGCTAATGAATACACAGGAAGAGGAACTACCTTTAATTTAATTTTTGCTTATTGGTTTCACGGAGATCGGTCACTATGGCATTTTTATCTTTCGTGGGTCCTTACGGCGTACGCGCAGGTGGTTAAAATTGGTACACATGTAATGTGCGTATGTATGTCTCGCGCGTTCGTGATAGCTTCACACACTGATAAAGACCCACAAATGACCACTCCATACAAAACAAACTGATATGATTCTAATGTATATTCTACTTCATTTGTGTCTACTGGATCGCTTTTTATGTCTTTCCCGGGAACGGCTTGAGCTAATGGATCGAGTTCTATGCGAATATGAATGCTTTCTCGACCGCTTGCTCCTGCTGGAGTGATGCGTCCGACTATTCCTATCATGGGATCTGTGATGTTTTGAACTTCTTCTATGGTTGCTCGATCTCTTTCTGTGTTCACGATCGCGGTGGCTTCTTTCTCTTTTGGAGAATTTCTCATCATGGGTATGTTTTTCTTTTCTATATTCCTCAATAATTTGTTCTCGTTCCTTCACACTGTCTTTCAATTTTCTTAGAGTGTTTCTTATCTTTTCAAATCCTAAGTGCTGCCTTCCACCAGTATGGTTTTCAAATCTCTGAATGTGTTCCACGGTCGATTTCATGCCTCCGCATATTTCGCAAACCTGTGAAGGGGTGTGAGCGTCGAAAAAGTGAGCAGGCCAAATGTGCACATGTAACATGTGTCGTTGGTCTTCGTTAATGCATACGCGTACATATGTAGCAGTCCAATATGAAGGGCCTCTTATTTTATTTTTTTTTCTATCCATTTTATATTACCTTCAATTTTGGCTCTACTACCCTCTCAGGCTCCTCATTTAACCTTTTGATTTCTGCTTGTAGGGTGGTCACTTGGCTGTTAAAACTGTCTGCCTTGACTAAGTCCCCCTGCGGGAATGGCACGTAGGAAACACACTCCAAATATTTTCAATAAGGACGTCAAAGTGCTGTACAATTTTTCGCAAAAAAAAAAAATAACCACAATGAGAGTGGTGCCAGCGGGAGAATGTGTGTTACCTTTTCCCGAGCTTCTTCTTCATGTTTTTGTAAGTCCTCTATATGACTAGTGATGCTTTCGATTCTACAGGTGGTGAAAAAAAAAAAAAAAATAAGGTAATTACAATAATAATGAGGCAACCGAATAACGGAACTAATGCTACGGCCGTGTGACACAACACTGTGCGTGAGGGAAACTTCCCTACTTCGTGTATCAATGTACTTTCTTACTTCTCCTTCTTGTCAACAGGATTTTTGCTATTCTCCGACATGTGCTTTAATTTTTCTTTGCTCCTCTCAATTTTGTGATCGGCCAATTCGATAATTTTTTCCAGCTTTTCTGACAGAAAAATAAAGAAAAAAAATAAATAAAATAAAATAAAACAGAAGGGAATTGCAATGAGGTACTATTTTATAAGAGCAAGGGGAAGAAAGCAGTTTCCAAATAAAAAAGGCGTCGTACCCATAAACTTTTGCTGATATTTTGCCAGGTAGTATTTATAATTTTCATGATTTGCCAGTTGTCCCTTTAGCACTTCTGAATGTAGGTTTTTGCATCTACGGAAGGGGGAGAAAAATAGGCCAAACACGTTTGAAGCGATTTAAAAGCATGCAATCCATAGGCCTGTATGTGTCTACCCACACTTGAGTGTCATTGTGCAGACTCTTTTTCGTTCCTTTTTCCTTTCTTTTTCATAAAATTGAAGCTCGTTTATCTTGCACAACGTGGTAACGTTCACGCCAATACGGCATGCCCTTATAGGAAGGTTGTCTCTATATGCACGATTACTTCTTGCGATGAAACTGTGCACATATATTGTGTACATCAATTCATACGTGGGGACAGAGGTACCTCCCCCTCTCCCTCAATAGAGTTACATTTTCCGGAAACATACCTCCCTATGTCACTTTTTGTGTTGGGGAAAAGATCGTGCGGACAAAAATCAATTAAGTAGTACTTGCAGACCTTCCAAAAAGTAAAGAAGAAAATTTTACGTGTGAATAATTTCATGCGAGTGCGCATAAGGAGGTGCGCTTATCTTAACAGTTTTCGACCTACATTGTCGTCCTTGAAGGTGTGCTTTTTCCTGGCATCCGTTTCGTTCCTGTCCTTTCCCATTAGGGAATCTAACATTGCTGAGGGGTGTGCGACGGGATAAAAAAATATATATATGAATATATATTTATATATATCACTGCACATTTACGTGGAGTTATGTGCCCACGTTTTTGAAGTCATAAGATTGTTAAACTGGCGGGTTCACAAAATTAGGGGGTATAGTTAGATGGTGACCTCGTCAACATGATACACACAAACAAACACGGGAATAGTGGCACTACATACACCACCGCAGCGCTGCATCTTAACCCTCGAGAGCGGCATTATTTGCGTCGCCAGGGATGGAATCTGTGTGTGGTGAAAAACACAACCATCTTTAAACGTGTCCAACTGGACACATCTGCACGTATAATGTGCACAGGTGATATGTTTTCCTTGACACTTTCTTTCGCGTGAAACGTATTCTTTTTTTTTTCTTTCTTTGTTACATCTCATTTCTTCCATAGTCGAAAGGGGGGTTATCGCAAAATGTCCATTGCATACGAGGTGAAGTGGAGGCACGGCATGCTGCCCTGGGAAATTTGTGTACGCTTCCACCCGTTCGTCTGTTAGCCTTTTAGCACTTATCGCTGCCTCTTTTGTCGTTTTACTACTACTTCGTTTGTTTACCCTCCAAACATTAATTTAACCCTTCAGTGGTTAAACCATTCATAATGTTCTTTCGAATTTTAACAACTCAGGGGGGTTGAAAGAGGCGGGTGAAATGAAATGCACAAAATGCGCTATTTGTAAGAAGCGTAAAAGCACATGCAGGGATGTACTTATATAAATAGATTATACATATATATTACATGCATTTGTATACTGTTCACCTGCGAATTTGGCACTCCCCTGACAAATGCGTTGCAGTAGCGCAAAAAAAAGGAAGAGAATCAAATACTCCAGGGAAAAAACGTAATAAAAGAAACGAAGAAAGAAGGAAAAATAAAAAAAAAAAAAAACCATTAATGGTCAAACAAAGGGGGAAATGACATTTTGTACAAATACAGAGCAAATAAAAACATCACTCGAATCAAACATTTGGTAAAGCGAAATGTGCATACGTATTTGCCTATGTATGAGAGCAGCACATGCTGATGCATACTTTTATGTGTTCGTGCGGTAGTATAAAAATGGGGAAAACTAATCTCGGTCAAAATTGACTCTTTTGATTTATACATATGTATATAAATATATATATGCATTTTTTTTTTTTTTTTTTTTGCAAAACGAGCTAGGGGTTATAGGGTTAGGGGGAAAAAATTAAGAAGGGTTTACTTTCCGTAGATGGACTGCCTTTCTTTAATGCACCAGTTTTTCTTCCCTGGGTGCTCACACATGGTATTGCGCAGATGTATACACAGATGTACAATGCAGACCCTTTCAATTTTCTCCTTTTGTTAACCAGAATTGTTAGAGCACAGTGGGTATGATATCAGCTTCAGTAATTCTTTAACCGTGGTGAACACTTTCCTGTAAAAAATGGCACCGTGGATGGGGGGAAGATGGAGTTACAGGCGTCATGAAAAGGGGGGAAGTTGCAAAAAAGACCGCTCCGTGCTTGTGGCAACCGAACGTCAGGGCACACAACGTGCAGTTGGAATTTGGGAGGGGTTCAATTACGCAACGTTGATGCACAGTTGCGTGTTGCGGCTTCCTCGTGCATGAGGAGATTCCCCTTTTTTCGCTCTATTCCTTTTCAGCTCTCTTTTTCTGTCTTTCGCTTTTTTTCCACTTACGTATTTTCCGTGTTTAGGCAGTCCAACAGGTAGGGGTAGCAAATGAACAAGTGCGCCTTGTCCTCTGAGAATGGGAAGAGACAAAAAAGGAGAATTACTAATAGAGCTTCCCAAATGGGGCTTCTCCAATGGGGGAATTCCCAAACGTGGCGGGTGAAAAACGGTGCACAGAACAAAACCGTTCACGAAGCCACATTCCCTCGCCCCCTACCTGAGCATTTCAGTATCGAACTGCTCTTCATGTCAATGTAGGAGTAGTAACACTTCAACTTCTTCATTTCGTATAAAATAAACAAAACTTCATCAGCATTCTTGTTAAGGGAGGAAAAAAAAGGGGAAAAAACGACAGGTATGTTGATACCGATTCGACATTGTCATTTTAATTCCTGTTACAATTTTAAGTAAACACAAATCTGCCCATCTAATCTACGTTGTGAAAGTTACAAAACTGGCCGACAAAAAAAAAGCGTTTATGTAAAAATGGAAGACACTGGGCATTGATTTAAACGGGAGAAGATGTCACAAATTATTACCTCATTATTTTCACTTGAAAAGCTCCTCAGGGTCAGCACACATTTCTTTAGCATGACTAATGTCATAAAAGTTCTGTAGTAACTGTCGTTGTAATTCTCCTTGGTCATCTTTTCATATTCCTCAAACAATCTGACGGGTAGACAAAAAAACACGCAGATGGGGTGACCAATGTGCGCAGGATGCAACCGAATGGGCCATAGCATTGTAAACATGGAACATGTTACACGCGCGATGCGCACCAAGCAGATAATGTGCATGGAACTCACATCTGCAGCGTCCAGCTTGAGAAGGCCCTTCGCTTCTTATCGTTCAATTCGCTTATAACTTTCGTCTGAGGTGGCAAAAAAGGGTGGCGCGTCAAACGGGGACATCATCAGACTGGGAACTACGCACAGTATTTGCGGTGGTGCGGCGCCTTTGGACCTCCCAATTGCGCGCAGCTTACCAGGTATATTTTTATAAACAGTGGAGCCTTCGAATTCTCCACCAAGTAATGGTTCCGTATAAACTTTATGAGCATTATATCCAGCATGTCGATTTTGTCGTTGCTGCCTGGGGGAAAAAAAATATACATATATAATATATATATAGCCACATGCGGGGAACACTAACGAGATTTCACAAAAATGCAAAAGCATTGGCCCGCAAATGTGCACATCTATTCAATTCAAAGAAACTACTACGGTGGAGGGGGCGAAACACACCCCAACATCTCGCATGATCCCCCTCTTCAGCACTTACAACTAACGAAAAGAATCTTTTCGACGGAGAAAATGACCGCACACCAGTACTTGAGCAAATCCCCCTTGGCGATATTCCCCGAAATTTGAAGCATATTGTACGTAATTTTCAGCAGGATGATAATACTTTCGTAAAAGACAAAGCAGGAGTTGTTACTTATATTATGCAAGAAGCATTTGACGTGACCCGCAATAATGTATGGAAACATATTAACAAAGGAAAGCACAAGGGAGTAATTTTCTTTCTGATAAAATATGCTGTAAAATTCTTGTCTCATAAAATTGCACAGTATGATGGAGAAAATTATATTTACATTATAGTTAGGAAACAAATTGAATTTGTTATGAATGTAGAAAACCAAAAAAGGAGTGAAATAATTGAACAGTCCTATGGAGAATATTTGGAAATATTCTATATAATTATTTAATGGGTAAATTTTCTTATAATTTAAGGTAAATAATCTGCTACACTCTTTATTTTCCTCATTCAGTTCCTTGGTGTTTATGTCCATATCGAGTTTGTTATATGTATCATTGAGTTCTATCTTTTCAATTATTTCATCCGAGTTTTCATTAAACAGTATTTTTTCATCAAAGAAAAAGTGTAACAGTTTGCTCAGAATGGACTTTTTCTCTTCATTCTCTGACAAACTTAGTAGCAAATATTTTACACACTTTAGCAGTTCCTCATTTATTAGGAGATTTATTTTGTCGTACTCTAGCGTTTGAAAAATGTCCATCATGATGGTAAAAATTTCGCTATTTACGTGACCATTTAGGAAGCCCGCGTATATGTTTTTACTCCTCAATTTCTCGTTCTCTCCAAATGATTCTGTGCTATATATCCCTTTGTTGTTCTCTAGTATGTTGTAAATATTTAGTGGGTCATTCAATGCTTCGTTGGTTTTGTACTCAAATGTGAAGTGGCTGTTTAGGAAGGATGGTCTCTTTGGAGCGCCCCCTCCCCCCCCTTGCGGCCCATCCTTCAGTGCGCACTTGGGGGGGTTATTCTCCGTCTTGTTCGATGCAGCATTGATGTCGCTTTCCACATGATGTATGATCGTCTCCCTCCCGCTTACAAAGTAATCAAAAAACAACTCATTCAAAATGGAGTCGTAGTTCAAGAAGGAGTAGTTTTTCCCTTCCCCTGGGCTCAGCACCACCTCCACGCTGGACGTGAACAACAAGTGAAACAAATGCAAATACATCAACGAGTGCACATATATCCACTTGTCACAGTACACATTTTTCAAATTTTCCATAAGGAGCTTCAAAATGAAATCTTTAATCTTCTGGTCATCAGTGCAGTAGGCATAATTGTAAATGTAAAAAAGGCACATGTCGAAAATGCTTACATGATCAGAGCACCTATTCCTATTGCTTAGCGAATTCTTCATTGTGAAATGGAAGACATCATAGTAGGTGAATTTGGACATAAAAATGTTGTGAAGTATTTGCAATATCGATATGTGCAACTCAAACATGTTCCTACTCTTATACTTGACAAAGAGTGTAGTTTTCAGGATGTTGACAAAGGTGCCATAAAAAATGTAAAACTTTCTGTAGTTCCTTTGCTCGAGGAGGATTCTATTACACCCTTCTATGATTAGGATAAAGCTTTCGATCCACTGCTTCAGTTTGCTGTCCCTTGAATGGTGGATGATAATTTTGCTGAAGTTTTCATTTACATAGTCGTACAAGTCTCCGTTCGTTTCTGGTCCCAAAGAGGTGTTTCCACTACTGATTCTGTTTCCGCTTCGGTTTCGGATTCCGCTTGGGCCTCCGATTCCGCTTCGCGCTCCACTTCCGTTACTGCTGGGGATACCGGCCCCTTTTTCAATTTCGCTTAACAAATTGGGGTGCTCCTTCATTTCCCCCCCCATTTTTTTTCTTTTTTTCTTTTCGAATTGTCCTTCCATCTCTGCCGTGAGGTCTGCGAAGCTCTTCCTGAACTTTTCCCTCAGGGAGGTCCTTCCTCGTTCTGGCAGATCTTCACTCGTGCGGGCTGCATCACTGTTTGCGCTCTCCAATGGGAAGCTGCTTACGTCTTCTGTGCCGTTTACACTGGTAGGTTCACCCGATTGGCACTCTACCTGGTGCTCACTCCTACACTCCATCTCGAAATATTCCTGCAACTTGGAGTAATACCTAACGCTCAACCGCTTAAGTAACAAACAAATGGATGTTTTGTAAAAGAAAAAGTCGAATTTGCAAATATGTGTGGAGAGAATACTAATGATCGTTTTGATGCTGCAATTTCGAACCTCTATTCTTTCGTCGAAGCAAAGCTTCATAAGTTGATTCAAAATGAAGATAAAAAAGCTTTTCATTTTTATGTTTTTCATTTTAATTTCCGTTTCGTATATGTAAATTTTCTTGTTTTCTATGACGCAAATATGAAGGAGTTTGTTTTGGCCTGTTTTGTGTTCATCCCCTTGGGAGGTGCCTTTTTCTCCTTCTTCCGCTGCACCACGGTCTTTTTCTTTTCCATTCCTCTTCAGCATGTGAGAGCGCCCCACAATGTAATCAACGACTGACCAGGAAAAATTGATCGCCCTGAAGGATACGTTATTGCTCAAAACATTTAGGGACGAAAAGAGGATGAGCATTTGGATGACGACTTCCATAATTTTGCACACAGGGACTTCCTCAATATAATCTACAATTATAATCTCTAGGATGTTAAAAATGCTGTTAATGTTGGATATATTTTCTTCCATTATTTTTTGGCTATCCTCTTCATCTCCCTTGTCATTTTTTAAACTCTTTTTTTTTAACTCTTTCTGGAATGATACGTAGAGGAGAAAAATAATAAACAGCCACATATCCTTGTTAAAAAAGGAAGCATTTTTTCGAACGAAATTTAAGAAGGAGCTAATGAAATACGATCGGTAACATGCATGCGGGTTAACTATGAACAGGAAAAATGGCTTAAACAACAGAAACTGAATTTCAAAGTTGTGTTTATAATGTACAACAGACTCTTTTATAATATTGAACAACGTGTCGATGCTTTTTTTCTGGATGTCATTATTTTTGCACAAGGAGAGCAATAATATGTTCATGCAGCAATTGTTGTAAATGCTTCTTATCTTATCCAGGTTAATAACACACAGCATTTCTATCATATATAGGGGGTAGAAATCTTCGAAGATGCAAAACTTTTCTAATTTCTTCAGTACGATATAGTAGTTGTGCTCTTTGGCCGCATTACCGCTGGGTTTATCATTCATTTCTGTCGACAAGTTTGTCTCTTCAGTGGGAACTCCCTGTCTTGGTAAATTTGCGCATTCGCTGTTGTTTGGTCTATCCTTCGCCATTTCCTTATGCATCACCCCTTTCCGCTTCTCCCCCTTAGCTAAAAAGAACATATCCGTGTAGAAGGAAAAATAGGTTGTGTACATAGGGTCAAAATGGGACAGGTAATAATAATACACCTCAAAAATGTTATCATTCTTGTGCAAAAATTCGATGTACTTTTCAATTATATTTTTCTTTCTATTTAATTTGTTAAACTTTATGTATTCACGACTGCTGGAAGTTGTGTCTTCTTCGTTCTTTTCCCTTCCGCGCGAGTTTCCTGAATGTAGTGCTTCCTCCCTGGAGGGCTCCGTTAACCCGGTAATGCTTTCATTTCCATCCTCGCAGTTAGCCTCCTTTTGGGAACTTCCCATATGGCCGTTCAACACAGTGGTGCACGTATCATTAGAACCTCTTCCACTCCCATGTGAATCTCTATTTTGTTTACTCTCTTTGCCTGGTATGTGGCCGCCCCCAGGGGCTCTACCCTTATAACATAACCTGGGAGGTATTTCCCCCCTCTTGGGCCCCATCTTCCTCTGCTTGAAAAACTGATTAAATATCATAAAATGAATTGAATTCAAAATATTAACCAACGTGGAAAGCTTATAAAATATGGTGTTCTTAAAAAAGTAAGAAAAAGAGGAATAAATGACAGTAATTTCTGCACACAGTACAGGATTCTTCTGAATAAACCTCAATATAAAATAACAGAATTCAGCACTTTTTGAATTTACATTTTGTACATAAGTGTTTTTGTCCGAGTCGATCAGTCTCTTACTTAGAGAGAAGATAAAATCTTCCTCATTTTTGTTAATGTGATGCAGGAAGTTTAGGAACTCAATCGTTTTGTTCTCTATTGAAGATATATACTTATATATGTAATTAACTTCGACGAAGAGGTTAATCATCCTTAGCCAGTCGTCAAAATGGAGGTTGTCTCCATAAATGAAGAATATGCTAATGACTGCCTTTATCGACAGAATATATTTTACGTTATTCAAATCGTTGTTTATGAAGTATGATTCTTTCAATATGATACTAATGATCTCGTCAAAATATTTTATACGATCTTCGTTCAATGTCGATTTGAAGCAAACAAAATTGGAGTCGACACTTTCTATGCTCGTCTTTTTTGAGATGGATTTGTTCTCCAGTAAGTGATCCGTGTCTCTCCTTCGACTATTTCTTTTGTCTGTTCCTGCGCCTTCCCCGTCATGCAGAGCCGTACTGGTAACGTTACAATGAGCGTCATTTTGGGGGGAATTCTTCCACGTTTCAACACTCATGTTTGGTTGGTTCTCATTACGCGAATTATTTGTGTTTTCGCGTCTATCACTTTCTCCGCTATTCAAGTTATAAAAATAATTCCCCGAATAATCGTCACTCTGTTCCCTCTTTTGTAGATTCCTCCCGTTGGCAATATTCGCTTCGCTCTTTTGTTTGATCAGCATATCATCTATTTTGTCCTCCTTTTCGAAGTATTCCTTCACATTTGTGGGTTCTACTTCATCATGACTTCTGTTTGACCCCTCCTTAGCTTCGGTCAAGTCGTTACTCCCATGTTTGACATATTTACTCGTGTTGTGCACATAGGCAGCGGTGCCCAGTGATTGACCCGTGTGGACAAAATTGCCTCCATCGTTTACACTAGCCTCGCTACCTTTGCGATTGGAAGTTTTACTCTCATTAGAGGAGTACAAAATGAAAAGGTTACTGATTCTTTTGATGGTCCCTTTGTTCTTCCTTACACCGGAGTTGTTTTCACTCCTATTTTCTTGCCTTTCAAAATTTCTAAGAATCTTCAAAAAGAAGGGCGAATTCTCTAGGGTAAAAATACTACTGCATTTTGTTAATGTCTGCAGACATGCATTGGTACAGATATTTATTTTTAAATGAGTACTGATAAAAATTATTTTCTGGAACCCACTGAAGAAACACACATCTAGCGTGTTCGTGTAGGAGAAGATTAAGCAGAGAGACGATACGAAATATCTGCACGTGGAATTGAATACGTTAAAAAATAGGGATATGCTCTCATGGTACTGGTCATTTGAATTCATAGGCTTGCTTCTATGGGGATTCTTTTCTTCTTTTTTGCTTCGATCTTTCGTGGGTTTGGCGCGGTGTATTAGGGAGTTGCAACTATTTGCACTGCTATACAGACTTCCACTCACACCGCCAATCACAGCGCTATCCAAATGGCTCCCTCTTGCTTCACACTTATTCGTGCCTTCGGCTTTGTTCTCATTGTAACAGTTGAGCCTTCGTTTCAGTTCGTCATCAAAAGAGGGGTTCTTTCCACTAATGACACTGGGGGGTTGTTCCGTCGGGGCCGATTGCAGAACATATCCTCGCTCTTTGCACAATTGCTCCACTTCCTCCTTCTTTACATGCTTCCCCTCGGATCTGCTTCCACACGCCGATGGTTCACTTAGAGCAAATCCACTCTCATCATTTAGATCTATCGTTGCGAAGCAATACTGATTTAGGGACGTTCTCAATATGTTTAAAAAAATTACATAAAAAGAATTCACAAGGGATAAAATACTGTCAACAGTGGACGCAAGCAGACGTATTTCGTCAGCGTCTTTGTAGCAGAAATCATCAAAAAGGGTTCTACTTACTTTTTTCTCCGCTGAGTATTTGAATAAGTAGAAATTTTCCCTCGGGTTTTCGGAACTGTTTGGTAAAATTAGGGGGTAACTCAAAAAGTTGCGGAATGGCATTTCGTTGGATCTGCCTTGGACTTCCTTCGCATGGTTCCCTTCCGCCTGGTTCTGCTGTTTTGGTTTTATATGGCCGTTTCCCTGCTTGAGCTTTTTCTCGTGGTTTCCTTTGTGTCTTTCTATGTTTCTTTCTTTGTCGCATTCCTTGTCGCTTATTTTGTTGCTTTCTTCGTGTCTTTCTTTGTCGCTTTCTTGGTGGTGTCCCTCCGCGCCCTTCCTTTCGCAGCTGGCGCTGGCACCCGACTTACTCGGCCCCTGTTCGACATGCTGCTCAACTTTCTTTTCGCCCGTGTATATCCTATCATACTTAAACACCTTCAAATGGGCATACATTTTGGTTAGGTCAATCGAATGTAAAAATAGCAATTCGTGAATAATTTTGCTAATATATTCTACGACCTTGATGAACAGGAAGCCGTCTTCATCAGTGTGGTGTTCCCCTTGCCCGCTTGAGCTTTTCGTTCCCATCACATCACTCAGTTTTGGGTTCGTTTCGAGCGAGTTTGGCTCCCCCAATTTTGTCCCCTTACTTTCCCCATCGGACTTACTGCTTACTATATTGGGGCGTTTCTGATTAGGCGATTTTTCGGTGGGGACATTTTGTGCTAACTCGGGGGGATGATCATCCTCTTGAATGTAGCGCCTCTTGGTTTTTTTTTTCTTTTTCTTTTTTTTCTTCGCTCCCTCGGTACCGCTGGTTACCACGTCTTTGGGCACTTGTTGGTCTTTCTCCACATCTTCCTCCTCAGCTGCTCTTCCCTCCTTTTCCGTTCCGCCCCCATGGCAGAAGTATTTGTACAAATGAAAAACAGTCCGTGTGTCATCAAAGAGATAGAAAAAAAAATTTAAAACGATGAGCAATTTTGAAAAGGGTTGCGTCAAGCACAAATGTTGAATTAGGATTAGGAACAGAAATTTTATTTCGCCCAGGAAGTATTGAAAATATCTGTGACAGATAAGCTCAAAAATTTTGAGGCATCGATAAAAAACGTCTATGTGTAAGTTATACTTTAATGATACCACTATGATGTATATAATTTCAAATTTCAATAATTTGAAAAAATCGAAATTTTTTAAAAAGTGTTCATAGTTATTAAGAAATATATACAATAGATCTAGGCAGAAGTTCAATGGCAAAATTAAATTGTTCTTGTTGTACGTCGACAGGATTTCTGTCCTTTGGTGACACGAGTCTGGTTGAGCATTTTCGTTATCATCATGGTTCATTTTGTTATTCATTTGGTTTTTCCCATTTGTGCTTTTTAAAATTTTCAAAAATTTTTTTATATTAGAATTTTTCACACTATACATGTACAAACTTCCGTCGATACTGGACTTCTTTCTTTTTTGCTGTTCTTGTTCTTCTTCCTCCTGTGTGTTATGTTTTTCTTCCACAGGGCGGTCGGTGCTGTTTCTGTCCGACTGTAGTGTGTCTTTTGAATAACGTGTCTGTTTGAGAGGGGTATCTATTTTGTCATCAGTTGGCTCTTCTTGGCGAGTACCATTACTTCCATTTTTCGGGGCCTGATCGGCCCACTTCTGATCGTTGCTTCGTCCGAATTGTGGCTTACTGGAAGATTCATTCGTTTGAGATACATTCGAATCTTGCCTTGGCTCTTGGCTTATATTAGCGGTGCCATTAATAAACTCTTCTTTTCGTTTTTCGTCCGCTGCAGTTCCATACGCACAAGGCGAAGAAACCCCAACAGAGTTATACTTTAGTCTAATATTTACAAAACAGCAGTAACAGAGGTAATGAATTAGGGAAAGCAATTTATTTTTGTTTTTCATGAAACTGTCATTTTTCAGATCCGTTATATAGATGAGATCTATGGGGCTATCCGTATCATATGGCAAATGAAAATTTTCAAAATAGAGGTGCTTCACTTCCCTTGAGTGATCCTCCGCCCCATACACATGATTGTTGTTACCACTGTCTCGTTTCCCTTCTGTGTCATTTTTCTCCTTCTCGTGTGTTTCGCACATGCAATTCTCTAAGTTATCACGCGGAGTAACCCCACCTCTACTTTCCCTATTACACACATCAATGAGCGAATTGAGTAGCTGCTTGTACGCAACACAACACGTTTGATACAAAATGGTATTTCTATCATATAATGATGAATAATAAACGGAGTACAAAATTTTCAACAAGGTGTTAATAATGTCCTTGTTGTAATACTCCATATACTGATGAGAAAAAGGGGCTAATATTATTTGCACAATTTTAATTAAAACTCTCTTATCTTCAAGGAATGTCAAATCGAATAACTTGTTGGTAATTTTTTCTATTTGCTTCTCTATGTTTATGTACCTAAAATTTCTTATTTTGTGTTTGTTGTCTATTATGTATAGGATGTAATAGACGACTCTCTTAATTATGAGCAAACAGGTGTTGGAGATTTTGTGGCTACTGATGTTGATGCCTATGTTGACAATGTCGAGTATTTCGTCTATGGGAAATTCAAAGCTGCTGAACAGTTGGTTTTTATTCGATTCGATTATACTATTATAGTTTTTAATTTTTATTATGCATATTTCTGTCTTTTCCTTTATGCACACGTTTTTTTTCCTTGTCTCAGAGATTAACACCTTCATGTCATTTTCGAGTTCTTCTAGCAACGGCAGTGGATCCATCTTCGCAGGTTCTGATCCGCATGCTTACGTGATTTGGCGGATCGGCTAACGATCCGCTAATCATCGGCTAACTTGTTCGCCTCCTACTCATGCGCCACCGCTACGATTTCATCACACGCAATGTGTTATGTTCTACTTGTGTGTGATCTATATGCGAGTTAGGCCACTGCACCCTATGCGCTGTGCTGAGAAGGCATGAATTATCTTCCCCAAGGGAAGCACAACAGACGTTTGACACAGTTTCTTCACAAAACAGGAGCAAGGGGGACAGACCACGGGAGGGTGAAAAAAAGGCGAAAATGGAAAAAAAAATTAACAGCTCAAAAAAAAAAAAAAATTAGCAAACAGTAAGGTACAAAGGGAAACGTACTTAAAGTGATGAAGCGGGCATGTTATTTCATACATAAAAATTAATACAAACACACTTGTTCTTTTTTTTTTTCCACTTTTGTTTATTTTTTTGGCCAGGATGAACTAAAACAATTTAATGTACGCTAACATCACGTAGTTGGCAAAAGGGGAAAGATCCAACATGGAGTAAAACCAGCCTTTGCCCAGTACTCTATGTGTCTGTGACTTACTGTCATTTAATTTTTACCTATAAATCTATTCAAAACAAAAAACAAGATTACGCAAAAGCGGAAAAGTAAAATAGCGTTTCAATGAGAAAAAAAGGAATGGCCAACGAAACATTTTTTTATTACGTGTTGGTAAAAGCATACCATTTTTTTCATGTCACAGAACGATTTCTGCGTACAAAGAAAGCACGGAAGGGGGGG